TGTAACACGCAAATGTTTGCACATGCACTGGGAACACAAAAAAGAGAGACTGACACATGCACTGCAGCAGAGAAAACAGTGAGCAGAGAGTCGCAGCCTGTCACTGGGAGGTATGATGCCACATGGATAATGAGTGTTACTCCCAGCAGGTAGCTGTGTAGCATGTGGCTCACAGCGCACACAGAAGCACTCGTTAGGAAGCTCCGACAGTACGTTCTCAACTTGGCAGGTAACACTGTTTTCATTTATCTTACTGAATAAGGGATGACTGAGCTTAGCGTTCTGTTGCATCCCAACGGGGGGGGCTTGCATGGTTATGCATAAAATATGCCTGTAATGCCTTCTCATACTTAAACTGTGTATCTTTCTATTAATGCATGTATGAAAACAGCAAGGGCCAAGAGCACATTTAAGTGGCATGTCTGCATTAAAAAAGCTTCCAGCCTTGTTGGCCTATACATGTTAACACCTTATATCCTGCAGTTCTCTAAGTTATCTAAGCAAATGAGAAAATCTGCAGCTGCCCTCAAATCCCAGTGCATCTTTCTTGACTGATAGCGTTTCAGAAGTTATCCACACGTAACCTGTATGATTGCTGTGTTAAGTTTTTGCAGCTGTACCTGTGTTTTTTTCCTGTTCAATCCAAAGGCGCTCTTCCCAAAATGTCATTGACGCTGTATAATTCCTGGCGTTTCAGAGCTCCTGTCTGGGCCTCCTCAGTCATTCACACTGCAACCTTGTCTCCTACAAAATACATATACTAATTTGCTCTGCCAATTACGTTTTGTAGGGAAAGTAATTGCTGCCGGAATTAGGTTTACTGGCAAGGCTTTTTCCAGTTAAGAAAGTTTGACTGTGTTATATAGCACAGAAGTCACAAGGAGTAGGTTAGGATAGATAGTTTGGCATTCAAAGCACAGGACGTTGACTGAGATCAGGGTTTGTGTGTTGTAAAATTGTTATGTTATTCATTTAGGCTACTAAAGTGCTCATTTTAAGGTTAGGTAAGGATTGTGGTTTAGTTTAAGTACGGAAAAAGTCAATGCATCCCATCCCTTAAGGTTTCTGCTTTGAGTTGCCTCCTTGACCATTAACACAGTAACAGTAACAACAGTAATTATTATTGAGTTGCCTTGAATGGACATTGTAGTGAAAACAAAAGAAATGCATTGTCAGTGAAACAGTGAGTGTTTTTCAGGTATGTTTAGTGCGAACATTTTGCATTTGCTGTTAAGAGTTTTCAGATGTGTTATATAATAATACATGTTTGGATACTAGTTGCTGTATTTAATGATGTTAGTCCTCTGTGGTACCAAAATATACCCAAAGAATATAAATCTGATACTAAGCTTGGATAGAAAGAAGCATTTTTGTACCAAATTGGTAAGCTTTCAGACATAATCTTTGTGTGAGCAATTTGCAGGACATTTTCTTACTTGTAGTAAAAAGAAAGATCTTGAGGGTCTTCAGGGTGAAACCACATGCATGTGAGAAAGGTTATGTCCTGTGTTTGTTAAATAACTGGTCCATCTGATTAAAAGACTTCAACACAATTTAAAAAAGAAGAGCATTTCTACTGAAGTAATGAGCTTCAACTGGCTTATTCAACTACAGTAGCAGGAGCCATCAATAGCGTTCTCCATCTTCAGTTCTTGCAGGCTGTCGCTTGAGAGTGTTTTGTTCTAAAATGCATGCTCAGTTCTTTGCCAGGCTCGAAAAGAATAAGCTAAAATTGTCCCCTTTAATGCATGGTTGATGCATGGTAAATGCATAATGGGATGAGACTAATAATAGGATTTCAACAATGGCTACCACAGTGTCTTTTTGTCTTTCCTTTCACCCTGTAAAACCAGTGAAAAGACAGGGCCAAGTCTGCTGTCTGCCAGAAAGTGAGTTTAATCTCCTAGTTTACAGTAGATACACAGGGATATGTGAGGCAAAGTGGGGATCTATGAAAAAACACACTGCCTGCTCATGCATTCACATCCAAACCATGTAATTTCAGACAGGCAGTGATTCAAATCCTAATATCTGTTTTGTATTCTTGTTAGCCTGCATGATGTGAGCCATATTGACTTTTATTTATTTGCCAGACTCCACTGTCAACAGACTGCGAAAAATAAAGAAAATCAAAACTTTGTAATCCTTACTTGTGTGAAGAAAGACAGGTGGTGCCACTCGAAATGTACCCAAATGATCAGGCCATATTGATCCCTTTGCCCAGGAGCGTGAGGTGAGCAGGAAGTAGCCTGAGCCGTGCCTCCAGAAAATGCAGTCACTGATAGTGTCCATAGATCGAGGAGCTATGACTTTTCTAATTAGAGAGTTCAGAGCAAACCCAGTTGGATTAGCTAGTGCATGGCTGTAGGCTAGCTATTAAGACTAAGTCAGCCAGACAAACAAGAAATCAAAAAGATGGAGGAGAAGGAGAGCAGAGGGACATGGAGGGGCTGAGCAGCACCTGGTGAATGTACTCAGACCTGGGTCAAAATCATTGTTTTTCTAAGAAAAATGCCCAATAATTGGGTATTTCTGATTGTTTTCCCTTGTAAAAGATAGTGTATAAGGAATCAAGCACACTGGTTTGCAGTATCTTAAACACAAGTTGCATAGTATTGTGCATTTTGTTTACACTGGAGCAAAACCCAGAGGAGAATCAGGCCTGTTCAGATAATACTTTCCTGTGAGTGATTAAACTTTCTAGTAGTCTGGGACTTTGTGGCAGCATCATAAAACAAACTTTATCAAAAAAAGGGAAACTTGAAAATACAATTTGAATTGCATTCAGAATAGACACAATCTGTATTCATGAATATCTATGTACGAGTTCAAATGCCTAGATAAATGTAACCACACTAATACTTTGTGGTTCAATTATGCTAAAACACCCTTTGGGGAGATGTTCACTTGATTTATTTTTACCTTTCAGGAACACATGTCCTCCTTTACACTTTGCCAGCTAATAAACCCTCAAGATTCACGCCTACACAGACACATATAGTACACACAGACACATATAGTACATGTACCCCCAGAACACGTTCACATACACAGACACATACACATACACACATTCTGCCAACCCACTCGCCTGCACAACCACAAGGGAGACATAAGAAATAAATTCGACACTTCCGCTTACCCAAGAAGCGCCTTAAGGACAAAGAGAAATTTAATCTCGGATAAGCCCCCCGATAGAATCTCTGCATTAGCCCTCTGCTGCTGGTTCACAGCTATCCCATCAACCCTTACCTCCCACACCTTGGCCCGATTCCCTCGCATCTCTTCTCTTCTGTACTGGTTGTTTTTTATTTCCTCTTCCCGTCTCTCCTTCTCTGCCTCTCTCTGACTGTCTCACTACTTCTTTCCAGTTTCCTTCCATCTTTTGTCCTTTCTCTTTAGCTTCACTCTTTTCCTCACCTCACTACTGCTCGCGCCCTTTTTAATCCCTCCATCCCTTTTGCCTCTCCCTTGTCTCCCACCTCATGCCTCCATCACCTCTTTTCATTCTTCCCACCAGTCCCATCTCTCCATCTATTCCCAGTTGTGGTACATACTGTATATATCTATATTTCTGTTCCTCTCCCTTGTCGGAGCGCTTTAATACCATTGGTATTAAATGCTGGCACAACCTCCTCGGCATACTTAAGCAGGCAGGGATCCTTGTAAGGCTGTTTGAGTGCTTAATATTTTCAGCACGCCGCTGACTTAAGCCCCTTAAGTGCTTTGGCAACACTTATTCCACGGTGGCACCAATGAAGCCCATTAAAAATTTGATTTGGATGAGAGAGAGAGAGAGAGAGAGAGAGAGAGAGATGGAGAGAAAAAAGAGGAAGGGAGGATAGGGGACACAATTTGCCATTACCCCCCCTTCCTTCCGCACACACTGCGACAAAAACAAATACACCCATCAGGGGGTTGCCCACACAGGGACTTTGTAGACACAAATACACACACTCACCAGTAGTGCAATGTTTGCAATGTGTTCTTCTTTTTGTCTGTAATTATGTCCTTTGTTGCTCTATAAAACACTTTGTGATGACCCTATTTTGTTAAAAGCACTTGATAAATAAATTTAACTTTATTTGACTTGATAATAGGGAACAGCATGATTCAAATTGAATGCATAAAGATGTTTGTAAATACAGCTTGTGGCAGATTAGAACTGATAGTTTATGATCAGTTGATTAAGAACAAGTAGAGGTGCTATTATAATAGCAAAACTGTGCTGCCTTTTGCATTTTACAGGACAATGAAAGTCATAGACGCAGAGTCTAGTGTAGTTAGCTTCCACCACTGGCTTTGTATTGCCAGTTTTATTGCCAATAGCAGTAATGATAGTACATGTGGCAATGAGCATGAATAGAGGAACTACATAATGCACGGTGTGTTGATGCAAAATATACAGACAGGTTGGACTAGCTGTTAGCAATGATTTCCGTGATACGTTTTTATTGAGCCAGCTTCACATCAGCATAACTCATAACACAGTCATAGTCACGTTCATTTCTGCTTTGTTCACATCCGCTTCAAATTACAAAGACCATGCACAAACATGTACATAGTTCTTGTCAGCAGACAGCCGTGCGCGTCCCTGCAGCCATAAAAACGGCCATTTAACATAAAGAGGCACTATGATGCCTCTGTGTGTGCCTGCATGGATAAATTAATGGGTAGTAGATAGTGAAAGGACCAACAGACAGCCAAATGTACACTCTGACAGACAAGCACATTCAGACACACACGCCGCCACTGTTTGTTGACCTGAAAGACAACCATTGTCACTGCTTCTATCCACACACACTCATCTCTAACCTTCACAAAAAAGTATGCAAAATATGCAGACACTGATCCCACACTGACACACAGACACACACACAACACACACACACACACACACACACACACACACACACACACACACACACACATTCTAAGCAAGGGGAGGGTGGCCAGGGTTATATAAACAAGTGGAAGGCAGAAAACGGATAGACAGATGGTTGGTGATCAACAACGATACAACATTGGGATTATAGCAATTTTCATAGACCAACAGGAAAAAAGTGAAGCGAAAAGAGGACAAATGTGCAGGAACTAACCAGCTTCTACGGGTTGACTGGAGGATTGAAGGAAGAGGGGAGAGAAAGCGGGCAGAACGGATAAACTAAACACAATTTGAGGAGATCAATTTGAACAAGTGAATGGACTCTGACTGCTGCCAGGCCCCAGACCTGCCAGACCAGCGCTGTTGGTGCACACAATTTTCTCAGCGTCAGCCAGTTGACCGGTGAAGTCAGTACCGTAGGGAAGATTGGCGATGATCCGCTTTCGGCTTTGCCAGAAGTGTCAGGGCCATCGCCGTTAGAGCTCATTGTGTTTGCAGTGGCACAGAGAGTGAGAGAGAGTGGGCAGTGTGTAGTAATCTAAGGATGACACCCGCACTTTACTCCATCAGATAGTGCTCAGTGAGGTGTATGGTGCAGCTCGTCACGCTTTGTGTCTGCACTGCAAACACACATACTTACACATACAAACACGCGAGAGCTACACACTCCCAGGGACTGACGATGCATTAGGTCCTGACAATCAGCGGAACTCTGTCCGGGCTTTAAACACAGCAGGCTTTCAGATCAGTGTGTATGAGTAAGTGTGTATCTGGTGGGCATCCAGGCACTGACTGCACCCAGTAGAGCATGTTGGAAAGAAAGACTTAGGCAGGTCGATGCTGCACGATTATACTGTCTGATAGCCTGTGATTATTCTGAGGAGTCTAAAATTACCACGTAAAATCACTGTCCATTTACGCTACAGTGTATACATGATAGCGTATCAAAAGAGTTCTAGCATTCAAGCGAATAATAGATACCTTGTGAGAATAATGTGCAAGTCTCTTGGGTAAAATAGCAGACCAAAAACTGTAATATCTGAAACTAAAGCGTCTTGCTGCAGTTTGCTCAGTCTCCTGCAAGTTGGTTATTCTACACAGGGCAAGCACTTCCACTCTCTGTCTTTATAGAGCGGCACTCAAGCTCAATGGATTTTATTTAACCTTAGCTATCTCCAGATGAGTTGCAAGATAGTGTCTCCATCTCCCCAGAGGCCTGGTCGGTTCGGTTATAGCTCAAAGGAACATTGACTTCTGCCTGCTTATTTGTCGGGTGAGAAGTGCGGGAAACCTTGTTTGACTCATTAAAATACAATCTGTTCATGAGCATTGTTGCCCTAGATTTCGCTGTCCTCGAGGGCATGGCAATGTAGGTAGCTCTATTTCAAAAGTTTGCATTCAGTCAACATCAGAGATAAACTTGACTTGCTTTGGAAGACAGTCTCTCTGCCTGTATCTGAATGAAATATAGTTTTATTGATGTTTGCTGTTCCTTGGAGCAGTGCGGTTTGACCTGCAAGAGACAAGCAGTCTGTTGTGGTTAATTGTGTGGCTGATTGTTAAGGCGCCTGGTGCTCAGAACTAGCTTAGCTCTGAGTTTGACAGTGCAGTGTACAGTCGATGAGGTGCTAATTAAGTTGTCCCTTGTTTGGTTAATTGCATAGCTGCCATTCGTAAATACCCTTACTGGTAAAGAAGACAGTATTGCAGGTTTGCTTTGGTCACTTTTGGTATTGGTTTTTCTGGTTTATTGATCTGAGAGTCTTGGGCTTTGGTCTCATGAGGCTCAGAGCACTGTAGCAGAAAATAGCTAGCCTAGCAGTGTTTGCTTTGTTGTTGGTTTGCTTAGATGGGACTGAGCTCCTGTACTGCTTTGTAGCAGCAAAGCTTCTGCACTGTATGGATTTAATACGCATGTCATAAGTTCTTTCTAAGCAACACAAGGTGCTAAAGTCAACAGTGGAACTTTTTGTTGCCCCTAAGCTCATCTCTGTGTGCATTGTGATATAGTGTCTAAATCGCTAGCTCTGTTAGCGCCCTGAGCTCTGGCCAAACTTCTGTGTATTGCGTGCAAGCCCGGGACACAATTCAGTTCTATGTGACTTAGCAGTTAAGCAGTTTCTTTGCATGTGTTGTGATACAGTGTAGCACATAAGAGTCCTTTCTTTAAGTGTTGTCCTCAAACAACAACTTCTGTCTGATTGCACTGAAGTAAAGCTGGGGAGTTAGTGTGTGCACGTGTCTGCAGCATTGCAGTTGTGTGTGTGTGTGTGTGTGTGTGTGTGTGTGTGTGTGTGTGTGTTTGTGCACTAGTTTGTCTGTAGCAGTGCAGACAGGGTCACAGAGGAGCCATTGATCAAACGTACACATCCACACGCACACACATTCACACATATACACACACAGCTCCTCAATACACAATGAGGCCTGTCCGGAGCTCTGTCCTCTGCCGCCTCCTCCCTGCCCCCTTCTCTCTGGCCCTGCGCAGCCTGGTCCTGGTCCTGCTCTGTATCACTCGTAAGTCATGCACGCATGAACACTCCCATGTATACACACACGCAGGCCACACACACACACACACACACACACACACACACACACACACACACACACACACACACACGCACATAGATTAAATGAGACATGACTTTTCTAGAGGGAAACTCAGGTGTTATTAGACACCAGATAAGTCAGGGAAACAAACACATAATGTTTACGTGTACACACTCATTTCATATTATAGTCAGGATGTGGCAATTTAACGTAAACTCAAGCTCCTTGTTCTTTTAATTTAAACTCCCTGCAGATCTAGGCTACCTCTAAATGATGCAATTTGATGCCGACATTATACAAAAAAGAGAACACAATAGTGAATACGATACTAATTGGTGTAAATTGATACGGAATGAGATCCAGTGCAGCGCCCAGCACATGGCCAAGGGAGGAATAGCTTGCGATGGAATCATGAAAAAAGAACTGTTCAAAATGCTGGTAATTAAGTTAGAATTGGTAATTAAGATTAAGACTAGAGAAAATGTGAAGACAGGAGCATGCCCAGGAGGTGAAAGTATGGAGGAATGAGAGACAGGAAGAGAGAGAGTGGACGGATGGACCAAAAGACTTAAAGGGAAACCGTCACAAATGAAAACAGAAAGAAAGAAATATAAGAGGGGCTGAAGCCTTTTTCTCAGCTTCCCTCTGAAGAACCTAATAAAAGAAAGTTGGACCCCAGAGTGGGAGAGATATGGCGAGCCAAATCGAGAGGTTGTCGAATAGAAAGAGAATAGGGGGAAGGGGGTGCAGTACAAGAGGCCAATATATATTGAGAGAAAGAAACAGACTGACATAAGGACCAGGCCAGATAGAAACGAGTACTGTATGTGAGGGAGCAGCAGAGGCATAAAAGGAGAAATAGCGAGACAGAGACGGAGAACAACACAGTCTGTGTGTGTGTGTGCAAGAAAGACAGAGATGCAGGGGAGGGGTACAAAGATAAAACATGAGACAAGGCCTCAAAAAAAAGAAGAGCTGCATGAGGTCGAGATTTGAAGCCAAGAGTCGTAAGAGTGATTGAACACGAGGCAAAGATGGTGATAAAAAACAGTATATGAAGTGGAGTGGGATCAGTGGCAGCCTTGCTAGGTGCTATTAATACCTCCTGTCATTATTATTATGCATTTAATACAGGGAGATGTGCTTTCCCTGCTGCTCCTTCGTAAACAAGTGTTGTGCTGCTGTGCTGAGTACCTTCTCCACTCTGCCAACCAAAATCTCACTTCAGTGCTGTTTAGATCAACAGAAGGACATTGTGTTTTGTGGTATGTTGAGAGGGATACAGGGTGGGGGTGACAATAGGGGAGTGGGGGATACAGAAAAAGGAGGAGTTTGTGTCTTGGCAGTTGGTGTGGTTGTGCAATTCATGCCAGTAGGGCAGTTTTGTTTTGGGCCTTGAATGTGCGTACACCATTTCACACAAGCGCACTCTTGCTTTTAGATGCATGCACACACCCGTACATTTCCATTCTCCCGCATACACATTCATCAGCATCACACACCACAATTACACACCAAAGGGAAGGCAGCCATGTGGTGGATTTTGAAGGGGTGTTAAGACCAGTGCTTTTGGCTGTGGTGAATCTCCAGTGTGGTAGCCGTTGCGTAATAGCCCTGTAAATTTCCTTTAAGCCGCTGTTGGGTTGTGTGTGCTGGCCATTGTCGCGGGGTTGTTGGGGCTGTGACAGACTCAGGCCATAAAACTCTGCACAGTAGATAGAGCTAACCAGCTTTAACTGTCAGAAAGAGAGGAGAAAGGAAAGAGAGAGGAAGATGGTGGTTTGTGAAGGGTAAGAAGAGGTGAATGAGAGAGCAGAGAGAGTAATGGGATGGGTGGACAAGAGGAGAGGAGAGCGCTCAGGGAGATGCAATGCTGCGGGAGAGAGAGGAAGAGAGAATGGGGCAAGAGAGGGATGAGGTGATTGAAATACACCAAAGGGCTGGAGAGACATAAAGATGCGAAGGTCAAAAGGAGAGAAGCGGAGAGGGGAGAGGGGAAGATGGGAGGAGGTAAAAGGAAAAAGAAGGGTGGAGGTGATGAGAGGAAGAAGACAACAGATTTCAATTCTGAGGATGGGGGAAGTGTGACTGGGGGGGAGAGTCGGAGTTAAAAACAGACAAGAAATATATAATGAAAAGTAAATGTTTCTAATGATAGGTCAAGAGTGAACGGAGACAATTTTATGCTGATTTTGCTGATTAGCAGTGCAGTCCTCACAAAATACCAGTGGGTGACGAGAGAGAGTCGGATGAGAGGGTGTCTGAAGTTCCTGCCAAAGAGAGAGAGAGAGAGAGAGATTAAGAAAGACGAGAAGGACAGAAAAGTAGAGAGAGAGCTGAGCTGTACGACTGGCAATTAAAAGAAGCGAATGTAGAGAAGATGAAAGAGGGAGGAAAAACTGCGATATTCAGTCCCCCACTCTATTCATTTGTTTTGTCCTCTTGTCCCATTCTCTGCTCTCACTTTTTTCTGTCTTTCCTTTGCTCCCTCTCTTCCTCTCTCCCGGCACACTATAAAAACAGCGCGATTATGCCGCAGACTTGAGCTGCAGAACAAATCACATTTAGCGAAGGAGAGTGTGGAGATGGAACCAGCAGAGAGGCAGGAAAAGATTCCCACTGAGTCACAAAAAGAGAGAGAACGAGAGAGAGAGATTGCAAGAGGAATGAAAGCCTATTGCAGCTTGGAAGGAAACTATTGAACGGAGGGGGGTGTCTACACGAAGAAAGAAAAAGAAGGAGGGACAGGAGTGGGGAGACAGAAAGAGTTGCAACAATTCTCCTGAGGCCCAGGAGAAAAAGAGAAGGGGGGGGGTTCTTCAGGACAGTGCTGATGAGGAAGATGAATGAGGAACGATGCAATAAAAGATAAGGGAAAAGAGAAGGAAGAAGAAGAAAGGAAAAGGTACTGGTGGAAGGCAGGAGGAATCAAGGATTAGATAAGGCAGAAGATGGGGAGGAGAGGGATGGAGAGACTGACTGGGGGTTTAAATAAAAGGAGAAAGAAAGAGATGGCGAGAATTAGATTAGACATGAAGGCAGCGGGAGGAGAGAATTATGAGTTGTGGACTAAGTGGAAGTGGGGAGAGGGGGTTGCTCCAAAAATGAGAAGAAAGGCTGAGTGGAGGAGAGGGAAGAAAAGGAGGACAGGAGAAAACGACAGAATGAAGGTAATGAGAGAGACGAGAGCGAGATTTGTAAAGGATTATGTATTATTTATAGAGGGAGCATCTTTTTTCTTTGCACTGGATTTGATTGGCAGAATTCTGGCTCCCTGAGAGAGATGGAGTGATAATTTTAGACTGGGAAAAGAAAGGGGGGTTGGTGGTGATGAGGGGTGGTGGGTCTGCAGAGGGAGGTATGGAGAAGAAGAACCTCAAAGTCAGCTATTTCATAGAGTCAGTATACTGCAAAACTCTGTGATTAACCTGGAGCAAGTATGCGTACACATATACACACATATGCACTCACACACATAAACATTGCAAACTCAATTTGCATACACACTGTGGAACCCGGCGCGCATCGCAGACTCCGGGGATAACAGGAAAAAATGTACATCCAGATGGGAAGAGATGGAGAACTTGCCAACGGACGACCCCATAAGAGTGGAAACTATGAGCTGCTGTTATTGTTTTAATTAAAGCAGTAATAACATAAGGGGTTGTGCATTGTAGTCTCCTGCATCGATTCCCTTGTAAATCTGTGGCCAGCATGCAAAGAAAACACAAGCTCTTGGCCCACTTCCAATTGAAAGATAATGAGAGATAATGAATAGGGAGACAGTGACTGCACTACTTCAAGGATACATGGGGGCTTGTTTGGGGCAAATGGAGACAGCTCATCTCTTGTATGGCTTGTCTTTTTGTCCTATCTTTTCCTCTCTTCACTCTCAGAGACACGGAGAGAGAGAAATAAGGGGAGAGTGAAATCGAGGGAGAGAGGCGCAGCGAGGCGGTAATTCAGCCGGCTAACCCTGCACCAGTGAGGCAGTTTCTAGAATTTACCGTGACCATGGGTGAGCCAGCAGTCCACCTGGCTGCCTCCCAAATCCCCCTCTTTTAACTCTCCACACCTCCCTTCATCCCCTCCCCTCTGTCCCTCTATCCCCTGCCTCCCTCGGCTTATAACTCAACCCCATTGCGGGACCATTAGGACGGGCCCCTGAACAGCCTTGTCTTATGAATTTGCACGCCTATTATTTATTTATTTGTTTATGTATTTTGAAATGATGGCCTTTCTCGGATCTCTATTGGCGTAGTAAATAAAGGCTCCTTTTTTTCTGGGGGCCGTGACAGCAGGGGTAGGGCATTTCAAATGATAAGAAGCACCAATTCACTGCTATGAAATACTGCCCCCGCTTGGCTGGAGAGAGAAGTGATTGTTTTTGTTCCCCCTCCTGTTTTATTTATCCGTTGATCATAGCCGTCGCTGCACTACCATGGTATCGATTGCTCTCAGCATTTTCTCTTAATATGATTTGACGCTTGTGGAGTATTTTATTATGGGCACAGATTTTAATGGGGGCCAGATTAATACCACTGTCACAGATGTTGATTCCCTCCCCCTCCTTCTCATTCCCTCTCTGCACTGTACCATGCTGGGGATCAGAAGCACAGGCTCATGGCCTTGATGTGAAGCCTATAAAAACCTACAGTCAAACTAAAGTGCTGTACCCAGCTGCGTTATGAGCGGGAGCAGAAGAATATGCGTCATCTCTCGTATATTTTGTCCAGCCCCTGCCAGCTGCATTATTATACCCAAACCATCACTTCCTAACTCCCTGCTATCATTTCCTGGTTAGAGCCCTCATTCCCCCACCGTCTCTCCATCCCTCTGTTCTCTTTGCCCAGATTGATCATCCACCAGCAGCCAGCAGGTGTTTCTGGGTGGCATCTCTCAGCAGGCGACAGCGGATGCCAGCCATTCCACTCGCAACAGCGATTAACAATTTTTTTTTTCTTTGTCGCTTTTCTTTGCACTTTACTGCTATGCCACTGCAGCTACTTTCCTTTGAAGGGGTGACAGCTGTCAGGAGAAGGGGTGTACAAATGGACAGTTAATTAGTTTTTCTGGCCTCGTCCCAGAAGCAAACTTTTGACCACTTTCTTTGTCTGAAGTCACTCTCCCACTTGAAGCCCTTTTTCTCTGTTGGTTCTGATGGGTCACTAATCACAGACAGACGCTACACTGACTTTGTCAGGATGCACAGCAGCACCATTACAATTAACACTGTTTAAAACAATGGCGGCCTAGCCCGGTTGCCACGGTGATGAGTAATAACAGCCATTAGAAAAATAATTGGGATGGCGGTGGCAGGCCCTGATGGCCCCCGATATGAATCACAATATTGATGCAGAGAATGGGAGCAATAATGACTACAATTAGTGGTAATTGTCAAGATTTTTTTTCTCTGTTCCATAGAGTATTAGAGTCCCCTTTGTCTTTATCCCCTCTTGGTTTCTTTCTGTCTTCAGTTCAATATCCACTGTGCCTCTGTGTTTCCCCTGATGTGATGAATATGTAGGCTTTGAGTATTTCATTAAAAGAGATTAAAATCGAGGGGAGAATTAAATTTGGATGAAGTTGGCGGGACCAGATGATGTCAAAGTAGCTTAATTGCAATATGTCATCGCAATGCACATGCCCACCTATTGTGCATGTGTGCTCATACGCACACACTCACTCACTCTCTCACACACACACACACACACACACAGACACTAAAACTTAGGACACGCTTGGTTGCAGATATAGACATTTATTTTGGCCCACAGCAGTCAAGTCAGCAACTCCTGCTATGGCAGCCACCATCTGTTTGTCTCACAACATTTCCTGCCTTCTGAAGGTGTTTTACAGAACCCAGAGACACTGCTAGACCCAGTAGTGAAATATATACAAACCCACCATCTTTATCAGCACACCTTATTGCCTGCTTCATCATCATGTTTCCGTATTGATGTCATTCTTTCTCTAAATCCTCCCCACGGCAAACACTTTGCCAGGGAGAGAGGGAATGTAAATGGGGATGCAAATTGGTAAATACTAGTTTGGGGAAGCCAGCAAGCTGGTAGTCTCTTCAAGGCAATCACACCCCACTCCTGGCTGAAGCCTTATGGCTAATTGCGCATAAATCATTTGGATTCAACGGCGGAGCTCGGTGTCCATTGTGCTCAGCGGGAGGTGTGACTCAGCTGAGCCGTGTCAACAGTCTGACCCGCAAACACGGAGGGTGCTCCAATCAGAGCATAATCAACCTCCTCATTACTGACTCTTGGGCTGTCAGCAACATCAAAGAGGCTCCCTGCTGCTTCACAGCCCCCTTGTCTAAAAATATTGGGTTTAGGGGCCAGACAAGTTTGTTTGGAAGATAATATGCGAAAGTTTCTGTGAATGTGCACGTGACTCCGCATGCATGCGTATATTGTGTGTGTGTGTGTGTGTGTGTGTGTGTGTGTGTGTGTGTGTGTGTATATGTGTGTATGTGTGTATGTGTATGTATGCATTCTCATTTGTGGGTGTGTACTTGCAGGGGCACATGCACACACATAAATACTCATACAGGTGTCTGTGTCCATGGGCATTTTCATTCACAAGAGCCAAAGCTGGTGCATGATCCCACTCCAGCACTTTCCAAATACCTGTAATAAGGACCATTACATCAGGATAATGGAGTGTAATCGATTGGTTTAGCTTGCATCTGAAAATGGCATTAAGAATGTGTTGCTGTAGCATTCGAGGCTGCCTCCATGATGTCACTGCTTTGCACTTTGGCCAGCTTTTTCACACTGAGTCAATTACAGATTCATACCATAAGTCTGCAGTTTAAACTATTAATATATGCACAGGTGGTGGCAGGGCCACATTCCAGCATGTGATCTGCCCAAGTGCCTTTGTGTGAGTGTGTTGGTCCATATGTGGCCATGGCTGTGTTAATGTGTGTCCTTGTGTGTGTTTGTGCTGTTGTGTTCAAGACCGACTGCCACTTAGAGATTTAATAAGGCATTATGTATTCAAATGTGTGTGTTGATGCATTCTGTTAAACTAGCCAGAGGCAATAGGGCTGTTTGTATGTGTTTGTGCACGTAAAAAGATGAATGGCAGTAATTATAATCATCCCTATTATAATCATAAGAACACATTGTTCATAAGGACCCTCTTTTACTTGTTGAGTTCTTCAGTGTCTTTACTCTCACTCTCAATCTCTTTATCTCATTCACTCAGCCTCCCCCTTTCTTTCCTCCCCCTCTCAATTTCTCCCTTGTTGTGTCCATATGATGAATAGCGAGTAAATGAAGGATGCTTTAAGTACCTTATTCTGAAAGGTTCTATCTCAAGTGATGTGCAAATTGAACATCTCTCTTTCTCTGCATCTGTTCCTTCTATTTGTCCTTCTCCTCTTCTCTCCCTCTTTTTCTCCCCCTCCTCCCACCCTCTGTATCACTATATTAACGTTCATCTTTCTCTCCCTCAGCCCGTTGTCAGGCGGTGCAGGCGGAAAATGTGACAGTCTTGGAGGGAGGTACAGCCCAGATCTCCTGCCGCCTGCAGAACTACGATGGATCAATCGTGGTCATCCAGAATCCCCGCCGACAGACCCTCTTCTTCAATGGCACGCGAGGTGTGTGTGTAGACAGACTTAATCTATCTGTGTCTATGTGTTTGCCCTCAGTGACATTTGAAACCAGCCTTTTAAACACATTAGCAATGACTCACCAACACTTGCACTTTACATTTTTCTTATTGCATATGTCCTCACTTTGCCTTTGAAGCGATTCCACATTAAAAAGTCAGATAACCCCAGAGTTAATTTAGGAGATGGTGTTATTCTCTGCCCTAACAGTGTGACTGCTTTAACTGTTTTAAAAGCATAGTTTGAAGCTCTCTGCATAATCCACTGTTAACCCTTATGATGAGATCAGAGCGTATTACAGCTCCTCATTAGAGCATGGCCTTGGCAATCACATGTTTTTTTAAAGGCGGCTTTATGGCAAATTATCATTGTAACCAATATTATAATAAATACAGATTTCATTGAAGGCCTCAGGGCAGGCACACTAAACATGTTTTCTCTTAACCAATTAAGGGCAAAAGCTGCCACCTTAGCCAGATTTTCTGCTACTGCTGCTAGGAAACCTCTGAGCAAAAGAACAATGATCAAGGATATTAAACATTGCCTTTCAAATTTGTGTGGGGCAGCTTAATTGGAGCACATTTTTTTCATTATGTTTTGTGGTGTAGCAATAGTTATAAATGTAGTTATATATATGTAATCTATGTGAAGAACTTGCTTAAGAGGTTAGCTCACGTTTAAGGCTTTGGTGTAAAAATGTGGTTTGTAACTGTTAAGAGTTAAGGGCGAGAGAGAGAGAGAGAGAGAGAATTTGCTGCAGGTTCTATCAGTTATTGACTGTGCTGAATTTGTGATTGGGCCCCTTTACCACCATTATGCAAATAAGCATGCAAACAAAAGGAAAAATACTGCATGATTAATGAACAGGTGGATTTAGAAGGCTTGACCTCACGTTAAAACCACTGAGCAATGCAAACAGACACACAATTGGCAAACTGTCTCAAAAAAACAGTAACAAAATCCACTCAACAAATCATCTATTTGCACAAATCTTCACACATGCAGGATTTTGTTCTCATATTGTATTGTATGCTAGCAATGCTGTTCTTTTGTACAGTACTTTTTCTCAAATCATATCAAAACACAATTGAAATTATCCAAAGTAGAAATTAGCTTAAACAGGTTGGGAGAGCATCCAATCGGAAACTCTAAATTCCCTTGAAAGAGCACTCGCTCACCGCTCACCGGAGCATGGCATTGTGCAAACTCCTCAACAGTATCTTTTATATCTACATCCCAAGATCAGAGTCTCTCAGTTGAATGGTCAGCCCATTCTGTCTCTCTGACATGCTGCTCCAAAAATAGTTTTGATTAATTATGACTCTGAGGATTGATCTGCTGTTGTAATTGTGTGACAGGTGGTAATTTTCCCAGCTTGATTTAGACTCTGAGAGTCTGTTTGCTGAGCTAACTTCACTAAAGCTGCTGAGCTCCAAAGTAGCTCATGGGATACTGTTACACATTGTTTTAATCTCAATCTGCTACTGTTACTTACGCCATATTTTGACCAGTTATTCAAGAATCCTTGAATTCAATTTAATTTAATTTAATTTAATTTAGCTGGACTGACTAGCGCATCAGATGTCCAACATTTCAGTTAAATGTTTGGCTTTGAGCTTGTGAAAGATAAAGAACTCAGCTGTAAGAACCATGCAAGTGCCAGTCTCACACAGCAATAGACGGGCTGCATAATCATCATCTTTCCAGTATATAAAATGGCAAATAAATTCAAGTAGTCGTGTGTTGTAGTAAGCTTGTAGACATCATCAACTGAAGTACCGTGGTTAAAGAAATGTCAAGAAAATGAATGGCTGCCAGAGCCAGAGCTAATTTTCTGTAGCTGACCTTCTAGTTAAACATCCACAAGATGAAGAGGGGTTGGAAGGACATTTCCAGAAATACTTTCACATCATTAGCCTAAAAACTGTGTGTAAACTATATAAGAACCTCTAGAACATATTTAAATGTGTTTTAACCACAGTACATAAATGCAAAAATCTTGTAACTCAAAAGCATAGTTTGTGTTTGCAAACATATGGTATGATATTTTTGTCTGTGAAAGTTTGCACTGGAACACATTTTCACATTTCTAATCATTACAACTTCCAGTACTGGTAATTACACTGATTCGACAATCAAGACTCCCACACACCCCTCGGAAATAGTCTCTGTAAAAGTAGTAGTCACTGAAGATTTTCCGAATAGTACGCCAAGATTAGACTAAAATACTAAAGACAAGAGACCCGCTTTCATTGTTCACTGGTACAGCATTCAAATACTTTTGTTCTACACACATTTTCCTCACTTGTTAGTCACCACGATCACGGAGCGGCCTTAATTGGGTAGTTGAGGTCGCTGCTTTGGGAAACCTTACTTTCAACTCTCCCCCCAATTCTACCAGATCAGCACTACCGGTAAGTTCCATTAAGTATTTAAACAGAGCCGCCCTGTCTGCTCTCCCACCAGACATGGACTTGCACCCTTCGGAAAGCAAGATGAAGCCTAATCAGAGCAAGGACAAAGAAGGGGTGTGAAAGCTAGAATGAAAGACAAAATGACAAAGAATAAAGAAAAGAGTGGGGGAGAATGAGACTAAGGGCGGAGGGTTAAGAAAGACACAGCAACAGAGAGAATGAGAAGAGGGAGCATCAGGCGATGGAGAAAGAGACAGCACTGGGAAGTGATCCAAAGGTTAGGCAAGGTATAAAGTATAGATGGCTTCCCGTAACTAATTTGGCTCCCGTAAGCACCGAAAAGCCTCGTTGGGGACATTTTCTGGGAGCGTAAATTACATCTCACTCTGGCTCTCTCTACCTCTACGTTTGCTCCATCACTCGCTGTAGGGCTCTTCCATTTTTGCCGATTGCCCATCTGCCGCCCAGACATCAGACTAACAAACTGAGGCCTTTCTGCGCCGAGCCATTCCACACTAACTGCCCAAATAGAGGCGCTGCTGTAAGTGCTGTGAATTAGGCTGCCTGTTTTGCAAGTGAGGAACCAGTCAGGGGTGTGTTTTATGAGATTGTGGGGACTGATAGCTATAATAGAGCGGTGAAACTAACCAAATGGACCCTTTCTCCTCAGTGGTCCATATCTCTCTTTTTTCCTCCTATTGCCAACTCTCCTCCGCATGCAAATGAGATAGGACAATAAAGGTGAACTTGGACTTGAACAGAAGTCTGACATTTAGTTGCCATTTAGTGCAGAGAGGGAAAAAAGATTTACCTATCTGAGGGGAATAGCTCTCTAACAATGCTCTCGCTGCCATCCGGTGCAGGGGAAATTTTGGGGGTGGGGGTGGAAAGATTAGTGTGGTGTACTTCCAGGAAGAGTGGACTAACTCCATCGCTCCAGGGCCGCTCTCGCTCAGTCCCCTGTGGATTTCTGTCTCTATCTATATTAACTTTTCCCGCCTGCCGCATTATGTAGCTGTATTAGACTATTTCTCTCTTTCTTTTTTCCTCCTCCACTCTCTCTCTTGCACACATGCACACACAAAGCCAATATCTATACTGTAGTGTCTGTGTTGTGATGAATTATGCTGCGAGATGGCCGGTTGTTATATTAGGGAAGTGTCTGCTGTGAGCCAAAGCCAACACAAAGGAGCGCAGAGAGGGACAGAATAAAATAGAGATGGAGAGTGAGGGAGAGTTTTCACAGTCAAGTCGATACAAAGTGAGTCTCAAATGAGAATCTATGGACATCAAGCCACTGCCACCCACAGACTGTTATTAGCGTTATTTGTTATTATCAGCATTTTTCTCGCCATTGATTTAACTCTTTCTTTAGTAACAAAAGGAAAATTGTTGCATGCTCACCTTTTCTCATCCTCCCTGTCCCTTCCTTTCTTTCTCCTTTGTACATTATGTATTCTAGCTCATTGGTCTACGGCCCAGGATTGGCTGTAGAATTAAGCGTTTAGAAAGCTGTGTTTTTACTCTTCGTTTTCAGTCTTTGGTTACATCATCTGAATTGCAGTGTTTACAATGTGTACAATTGTAGTATTTAGCCTGTCTCTCACTGACTCAAAGGGCAGCACCACTCAGTTTAACAGCTTTCCTAAAATAACTTTGGGTCGTTCAATAAGCTTTATTTGCATAGCACTTTTCAAAAGAGTTACCAAGTGCTTCACAGGAACTAAAACAATAATGATTAAAACCTAATAAGTCGAACAATAAAAATGCCAGATACTAATTAAAAATGGGCTTACAGAGGAATAAAGCAACCAGTTACAAAGAGAATGAATGAAAACATTCTAGTTTAGGATAGTCCAATCAGTGCTTGGGAAAATGAACAACACTCTCCCTCAAAGCTGGAAATGAGAGAACCAAGACATCTGTTATGTTGTATCAATGTACAGCCTGGAGCCGCTCCGTCGAGACTGACTTTGCAAACTCACTCTGAACTTTTTATATCAAACTGAGCTTTAGATTTAGCAGCACTATCAATTCCAGAGTGGAAAATTGTCTTGGGTGCTGTCACAGCCACTATTTCTCCCATGTTTTGCAATTTTTTCCTCTGCAGAGCTGTCCATGGGAGTGACATCACAAATTAGAAGGCGGTGAAAACCTGGAAAAAGACTTAGTCTTGTCCCAGACTGTGGGAGATAGAGCTGACTGTTTGCTAATACAGAGCCAAACTATCTTGAGGCTAAGGAGTATCTGATTCCAAAGCCGTAAATGTCATACTACTCAATTAAAGCAGCCCTTGTTTCTCTTTTCCTGTTTAGTATATTTGCCAGTTAATGCCTGCAAAATACATATAATAATATGGAATAATAATTATAGAACACATTAATTAACAAGCATACATGGTGTTATGATGCAAAGTGCCAGCAACCAGGGCAGGCCAAGGTCATTAAACTGCAGAGTCACAGGGCAATCACTTTTAGCCCTGCAACTCTGGACCTGTAGTTCCAATCTAACTTGCGCCCTTATCGGCAAGAAAAGTGCAAGCAATTGCAGCAACTGTCACTTTCTTGGCCTGCAAGTGGCAACATCAGTGTACCTACATCTACAGGTCTGAACTGCTATTACTTTACTTCTCTCTGGGTGGTAAGGGAGGTTTGCACTAGCCTGGATCCAGGCCTCTGATATTTCTGGCCACATGGATGGTTTTTCCAGCAATTTCCCTTTTTGGACAAAGAACTAAGCCAATAACTATGGTGCAAAGAAAATGCAATAATAAGACCAATGAGATGCTGGAGGACCCTATAGCCATATTCATACATGCGCTGCTCCCCTGAACTTTTCCGAACATAATGCTGATGAGCTGTATGTGAGTTAGTTGGACCGGACATTAAACTTACTTTACCCTGCTACCTCCCTAGCTGTAAGTCCATGTAATGTTAGATTGAGCCCATGTGTGAATAGAGCGAATAGAGGTCATTTCGTGGAGAATTTACAGCGAGCAAGTGGGTGAAGTTGCATTACATGTAGCTACTTCATACGTCCAAACAGGGACGCTAGAATTCAGCCACAGTTGGGGGTATTAATTTGAATGGATAGGATAACTTATATCTAATAGTTTAGTTATAAGAAAAGTTATTGTCAAATAGTATTACCAATATTAATAATAAAAATAATTTATTGGTTACATAGCGTTACGTATGTGGTGTACGGTAAGTCAAGCATGCTACATAGTAAGTCAAATTTGACATTTGGTTTCACACAGGACACTAACAGCAAAAAAATGCTACTAAAATTGTGACAAAACTAGATGCAGATACACACTTTGTTCCATGGTACAGGTACATCACTTACTAGTGATAAGGGTAGAAATAGTGTGTCATTGACCGAACAGCGCCAGCTTGTGGGAACCTGCAGCCTGATAAATGTGAATAAGTAAGTTTGTGCATGAGGTGCAAGGGCCGCTTTTTGAGGTGCTTCTCATCTGAAAACGAATTCAAAATAAAGCAAGCGAAAGCCTGCCAGTAAAATGTATTTAAACAGTTTTATTTAATATGGCACTCACTTTGTCAGTCTTATCTTGTGTGTGCGGTGTATTTCAAGCAAGCAAAGCACCATGACAAAAACAATTCTTAATGCTCTGTCTGTCTCTACAGCATTAGATTAAAAAAGTCAATTGCTATGACCCAGAGGAAACACATTTTTGTTTTTGTGTTTCCCTTACTTTTATTCTTTGTTTATAGTAGCTATTTAGTATTTATTCAAATTTAGTCTCACTTCACACACAGTTTGGGATTTTTCTACCAATGACTGATGTACCTTCCCCCTCCTTGCTTGTCCTTGCCGCTCTTCTGTCACTTTACCCTCAATCCTCTCTCCCCATCTTTTTACCCCCCCCATTGTCTCCCGCCCTCCACCCCCTCTCCTCCTCAACACCATCTCTCCCTTTCGTCCCACCTCCATCCCACTTCTGCTCCACTCCATCATCTCCGTCCGCCTCCAGCTCTGAAGGACGACCGTTTCCAGATGGTGCTCTTCACGCCACGGCTGGTGCGCATCACGTTGACCAACGTCAGCGTGTCGGATGAGGGCGGCTACTTCTGCCAGCTCTACACGGACGCCACGCACCACCAGGTGGCGACGCTGTCTGTTTCGGTGCCCCCGGAGACGCCCACGGTGGAGGTGAAGCAGGAGGCCGTGGAGGGCGGCGAAGTGGAGCTCACCTGTGTGTCGCCGCGCAGCAAGCCGGCCGCAACCCTGCGCTGGATCCGCAATGGCCGGGAGATACCAGGTACCTGTACATGACTGACGGACTGATGGATGTTAGATGATTATGGGAGATAAATGAGGAAACTAATGGGGGAATATAGGGCAGGTGAAGTGGAATGGGTGGACGATATCACAGACTGAGTGCTGAATAAAAGAGGGATGAATGGATGAGTGATTGATGGGTTGACAGAGGTAATGGCAGATGGATCAGTTGATTGGAGCAGGTTAATAAGATGGATGGATGGAGAAATGGATGGAGAAAGGGAAGGTTTTGGTTGCAGGGATGCCAAAAACTCAGCCTCCTTTTTCTTGTGTTCTTTGCAAAATTTATAGGCGACGAACTAGTTTCAAATGATCAAACATGCTTTTTGAGATGGGAGCAGTAATATCTTTTCTGTTTCCATTCCTTCCAGTCATAAGTTCATAGAATATCTGTGTGTGTTGATCTTTGTGTGGCAAAGACATCAGCAGCCAGTACAATATTAGAAAGATTTCAGTACTTTTTTTTGTGTGTCAAATATGTCCACTTGTCAAGTGATTCCCTCATCCAAACAGATACACATCTCCCGCTCTCAGTGTATCTCTCTCTCTCTCTCTCTCTCTCTCTCTCTCTCTCTCTCTCTCTCTCTCTCTGGCTCTCAAAAATTCAAATGTGTTTTATTTTCACATAATCTCACAAGTGCATTACATGAAAGCACAGATGGCTCATATACTCGAGATTTTCTGCTTTACTCACACACAATCTTGTTCACACTCACAAAGACACACTTTATTCACCATTATCTAACTCTCTATACTTCTGTGAGCCATCTATCAGTCTGTTACCTTGATCTGTCCTTCTTACTAACTCACTGTCTCCTTTTGCTTCTCTCAGTTAAAGGGGTGCTTCACTCAATAATACATCTGAGACCTATCTTTTTCTTGCCCTCGGTCTATTTGACCCCCGAAAAATAATTTTCTTTGCACTCGACATTTAAATCAGCATTTGTGTATAATACTAGGTTTTGATATGAATTCCTCAAAAACCTTGTTCAGTTGACTGAGCGTGAATCAAAAAACTCCTGGAGACTGAGTTTACGCAGCGTATAACTCTCACTCAGGCTCATGGCTATAATTTCTATTCAGTTTATCTCTGGTTTTTATTAAATACAGACAATATTGTTTAAAAGTACAAATTGCTTTCAAATGCCTCACATTATTGTTATTCATGAATTCATACTCGCGCCTTCAAATAACTCACAGACCAGATGAAATAATGTGAGATAATCTGGTGTCAACAGTTTTTGGGACATGCATTGAGAAATGCTTTGCCCTTTCAGACTTTATGTCAGCCGTTGTCTCCTTAACTTTCTATTTTTGTCAGGCACTCAACAGCTCTTTCATCCAGTCTCTTCCTTTTTCTCTAGCAGAACACGCTTGTCACCGTCTTTCTGTCTGTACCCTCTCTGTCCTTCCCCTCTACAACTTCCATATTTTTTCGTCTGGGCTCTCTTTTTTTTTCTTTCTTTAAATTTCACTTGTGACAAAGATGTGACGCTCATCACCTTTTGGTTGCAAATGGCTTAAAGATGGCCGACTTGTGTCTCGTCTCATGTTTACTCATACTTCTCTTTTCCACTGTTTCCCTGCTTCCTTCCCGCTTCTCTCCTCCTGTTTTGTCCCCTCTTTCTTTCTCCTCCTGTTTCCTCTCCCCTCCTTTCCTTTCCTCTTCTCCTGTTTCCACTCCTCTTGTCTTTTCTCCTCTCCTCTTCTTTCCTCCCATTTTCTCTCTGTTTTTTATTCTTTTTCTGTGGCTCTTCTTATTTTCTCTCCTCTATTTTCTCTATTCCTCCCCCTCCTCCTGTTTTTTTCTCTTCTCCTATCCTCTTAACTCTTTTTTTCACACCCTTTCTTTCAGTTTACCCTCTCCTCCTCATGTTTGTTCCCTGCTCCTCTTCTCCTGTTTTCTCTGCTCTCTTCTCCTCTCCCCTTATTTCTGCCTGTCTGCTCCTGTTTCTTCACCTCTCCGTCCTTCTCTTTTGGCCCTGAGTTAAATGAACTGTGACACGAAAGGTTAGAGGCAGATCCCAACAGATATGGGAAAGCACTCTTTAATTAAGACACTATCTTCCCGCCACTACCTTATTCCTGCTCATCTGCACCCACCGCTGTCCTTCCTCACGCTTCGATTGGGCCTGCTTTCATTTGCTGGCCGGCAATAATTGAAAACTCAGCACGATATAAGTAATATTGTTGTATTCTGCCTCAACAAGCACAAACTCCCAATACGTGACCGTGTCACCCCGCTGTTCCTCCTCCCTCCTTCTGTCTTTCCTCTTCCTCTCTTCTTCCCATCGGCATCTGGCTTAGCACTCTTATCGTCCTCTTTCATGTCTGGGCTTGTCTTGCTGCAGCCCCCACTCCCCATCAATCACGTCCGTTTTGCTGCCCCTCTCTCTCTCTATGAGTTTCTCTGCTTTGCCTTTCTTCTCTCACCCTGGTCCTTTGACGCCCCCTCTCTCTCCGCGTCTGGCTCAGTTAAAATCTCAATTCGGTTATGCATATTCTCTCTTTTATCCTTCTCTCCCCCATCTCTCTCTCTGTCTCTCTCTTTCTTTCACTTACGCGCACACACACACACACACACACACAATCACGCACACACAAATATTTAGTTGATTCACCATCTGCAAACAAACAGTTCTGCTGCTCATAATTGCCATGAAATATAGATGCAAATTGCTTTCTCTTTTCTCTCTCTTATTCCGTCCTCCACCATCATGTCATCCTCCCCTCTACAGGTACATAGTGCTGCTGCAAAAAGCTCATTCATCAGTCACTAATTTATTCTTCTTCCTTTCAATCTGCTCAATTCTTCTATCCACCTCTGTGTTCTCCAAAACTCTCCTCTACTTTTCCCTCCCTCCTTTCTCCCTGTCTCTTTGCCTCTCCCACCATAGGTGTGATGTCTCAGCAGGGAAAAAGGAAGAGCAGGCATGTTTTGCCTGTTAACTTGTCTCTTGGCCACCCCACCTGTTTCCTTCCATCATCTCATCCCTTCTGTCTCTCCCCAGGTGTGGTATCCCAGCAGGACAATGGGAAGACTTTCAGTGTGTCCAGCACCATCCGGATCCCGGTAGAAAGAAAAGACAATGGGGCGGCGCTGAGCTGCGAGGCCTCCCACCAAGCACTGGGTGGGCAGAAGAGGATTCGACACTACCGCCTGGATGTGTATTGTAAGTCCATCCTTCAGGCAGTGTGTTTACGTTCGTGCACTTTATATCAAAGCGTTTTCTATCCATCTCGGGAACAAATGAAGTAACATAATGTTCGTCACCAAATATTTCAAAAATAAAAATGATTCCATCTGTATTGCTGTCACTTAAGTCGCTACTTCAGTTCTATTCATTATAGTGTTTTACTTTAATGTCAGCCAGAATTTTGTCGGGGTAGCAGCCTCATTTTTCAAATGGTGGATATCTCATTTTAGAATGAAGCTCATTTATACACAGTCCAGGATTTTAACAGAGTGATATTCAGAGCTGCCCTGTATGAGACCTACTCTCATTAAAACCTAATACATACAAATCTTTTCATGCAGGGAGCTGGCAGAAATAGGCCTGCGGCCAGGTTAGGGTCCTGGCCCATAGTTTAAGAAGCTAACCAGCAACGGCTTAGAAAACCTGAGTCACATTACTATGTGCAATGATCCCAGTACAGTTCTAGGATTGCTGTATCTTTGCTGGCCTATTTGCTCAAATTAGTATGCTCTGAAATCTCTGCACATATGTCCATTCGAGGCAGGCAAAAGCAAACAGCAAAAACACTGCAACAGATTTAAATTTATAATTTGCTTAAGTCTAATATTCACTCAGGGCAACATAGAAGCACATTTTTTATTTTAAGCTGAATTCTTAGTATTTTCACGAATCTGTAGATGCTTCAGTAGGATTAATCTTGAAAATGTCAGACAGCTATAATCTGCATCCCTTTTTGGGAAAGTCTGAAATTCATAATTTAATATCTATGAAATATAAATAATTTTTTTTCCTTCTAATCCTATCAAACACTACTTCTTTGACATGTCTTTCTTTTTGGATGTGAGGAGAAACAACTTGCTTATAATTCAGTATGATTACTGTTTAATAATTATATTAATTTGAATTATTTTGTTTTCAAATCCTTTTTTAAATTCAGAGACACAAAGTACGTCACGTCAAAAACGCATCAACTGAGAGGCATCAGATTTAGCAGATTTGGATTTTAATAGATGCATCAATACTATTTATATTCCGTGAAAATAGATACTAAAAGTACGTATTATTTTTCTCCTTCATTCAACAAGTCAACCAATGTTCATTTACTCCATTTGTTCTCTTCTTATGCTATTCCTGCCAGTTCAATGTGATCAATATATCATGGATAATCAAACGTTTAACAGGATATATAGATATTTACAGTTGGTGATATTTTTTATATTCAGCCAGCACTTCTGCATCAGTCTTTGGGAATTAATTCACCACATGTATACTAATGTTTGTTGATAGATCAGAATGATTAATATTCAACAGTTTTGTCAATCTGTGTGCTGGTGGTTCCTCCAGCAAGACAACTGGTAATAATGACCAACTGTCAGTGTGGATTTGGCTTCCTATCGCTCTCTTACTGAAGTAAGTGCAGTACAGCAGCTGCTGGAACGGCGGGCTGCTTATGATAACAGGTGTCTCAACCGTAGGATTGTCGGCTGGTTGCCTTGGAAACAGATGTTAAAGACCCTTCCTCCTGCCACTAACACACTTTTCCCTTGTTCCTCCTTTTTGTTCCCTCACTATCTATCCCTCTCATTTCTGATTTTTTTCCTGTCTTCTCTGACTGTCATTCCATTTTGATCCTTTTGATCTATTTTTATTTTCTCTCTCATGTGTATACTCACCCTCTCACCCCTCCTCTTTTTCTCTCTTCCCACAGTTGCACCCACAGTGAGAATTGTTCCTCCTTCTGGAATTTTGCGAGAGGGCGACTCACTCAGCCTCACCTGCTCCGTCAGTGGGAACCCTCTGTAAGTCTCTGTGTGTGTGTGTAAGTGTGCTAAATTGTGTTGTGTTGGTGTGATCTGCCTTCAGTAAATGCTCTCTATGCATTGGTCATGGTGGTATAGGTAACAATGAAAAGCCAATGGAGAAACTTCACTAAACTGGACACCCAAGTCACTGACTTTTGTTGTCCTCCAAAATGTGAATGATTGCCTGTTTTGCTATTACAAAAAAGCAGCTTAGATGACTTCAGAAAGTTGTTTGAAAGAGAAAGTGAATCATACGTCCATTCAGCTTCACCTTCCACATGATATAAAACGGGCATATTTACCAGCTAGCACAAAAAGCTGCTTGTGAAGCTGTTTTGGGTTGTCACAGCAGTGTGTTTATGTCTTTTCTCTTGTGCCATAATGAATTTCTGACAAAATAGTCAGAATGTATAAAAGGTTTGTCTCAAGAAAGCGTTTGCGCTTGAAAAGCTGCAATGAGTCAAATCGGCTTAAGGATACACAGACAGCATTTGATTGACGACAACATGCAGGAGGTTGCCAAGTTCAACGACAACCCTTACAAACACAGAATTTCATAAAATGTATACACATAAGAACTGTTTTGGGAAATAGTTTTGAGCTGCTATGAGAATGACAATTATGTCATAACATCAACAAACAGCTGGTAGCTGGAGGTAGCAGCTACAAGCCTACAGGGCTCTACTTTCATTCTGAGAATCTGTTTGGAGGGTGAAATCGTTGCTGGCTTTAGAAGATTTCAGTTCACACATTTACCCAGAGCATGTTTTCTAAGTTTAAGGTTAGAATAAGCTTAAATTCAGCAACCTGGAATGATTTCAAAAGACAGAGCCAAAGGTCTTCATTGTTTAAGTTAAATTGATGAGGTTGATACGTATCTGGTGATGTTTCTGTGGATTTCAACAGTGAAAATTAATGAAATTTCTATTAATAATTGAAAGAAACGGCAGCATTTCAGTGTGGAATGAGTTGGTAAGGTGTGCTGCCGAAAGGTTGTTTGCCTGAAGTTGGATTTATGAGCTATAAGATGAATCAGTCCTGTGACACAGACTTTACTTACTTTGCTTTAGTTTATTTTCCAAGTAATTACTATTCATCTTACATACAAACAATTGTTCTTCTACTTAATAGCTATTGTGGAAATGTCCTTGAGTAACCTCTACCTGCTCCAGTAGAGCCGCAGCAGAAAACAGTGGTTTTCCTGGACGTCTACCAAATGTGTGAGAGTAAAGCAGGACACCGCTGAAAGGAGAACATGTGCATTTTATCAACTCTTAACACAGGTTCTGAAGAAAAATGTTTGAGCATCTCCCCTAAGTAGCTTAAAATAGTTGACCTCTTTCTATATAAATACTGTTCCAGATAATTCCAGGGTTCTTTCTTGGAAACTTCAAGTAATTACCAAGTACTTTTAATCTCCATCAAATTCAATATATTCCCTATAATTACTGCAAAATCTCTTGGTTCTTTTCAGGAATCATCCTTAGAAATGAGCAGTAACTCTTTACCAACTCCTTTCTAGGAAATTATGAGGAAATAGACTGTCAAAATTGAGTCCAACCACATGCTGTCCTCCACAAATGATGCAGGCTCCCTTTGGGCCAACCAATCCCAAATGCATCATTCCTTGAACTATAAGCGAAGCTAAACTAAGGGTTTATCGCATATGAATTTACAATATTAACACTGTTGCCAAACCTATTAGGATGTTTTTGTAATCATTAGAGGATGGTGCCAAAGACTTATTGTGCTTCTAAGTTGGAGCTAAAAGAAAAACCCTGCACTTTTTGTGGTATTAACTGACATTTAATGTTTGACAGAGAGATAAAACCTGATCCATATTTTATCACAAGATGAACTGAAAGAAAAAGAGCTTTGAACTGAGGCAGATGGGTTCCTAAAGGAGTGTAAAAGTATAATAGAAATTGAGTGTAAATGTGGACATATAAACTTGTATGTGACTCGGTGTGAGTGTAGAGGTCCTAAACCCAATCAGCAGTCAACATTTTTAAGAGCCAGCTTTGAAACAAAGCCTTTTTTCTAGTGTGTTCGCAGCCCTTTGTGCACTTTCCAGAAGGGTATTGGGTCCTAAGCTCTTAAACCCTCCCCTAGATGGTCCGTCTGTCTGTGGGCATCAAGTCCACTAAAGCTCCCCAGTAAAGCTTCATGCAGCCAAAGTGTGTGCATGTTTGTGTTTGTGTGTGTGTGTGTGTGTGTGTGTGTGTGTGTGTGTGTGTAATGACTTAAGTGAAATCCCACAGTGAGGACTGGCTGAGAAGCGTATTGGCTATAGCCCCACTAAAGCTTTGTAACGGCTGGTTGGGGACACTGTGTGTGTGGTGCATGCACGCGTATGTGACAGTGAGAGATGGGACAGCAGGCCACTCTGGACTCTGACCCTCATCTCACGCTGGACTGCACACACATGCACACACTGACTCACACACACATTACAGTCCCCTTGTTCTCCTCCTGCTTGCTCCTTGGCCCTGTTAACTGCTTGTTAAGTATTAATGACCAATTATATGCCACTTCCCTTTGGTGGAGGGGTACACTCATTGTTTGTCTGTTATTAGGACGAGAGATGGAGATGATGTTCTGTCTTTTTACCTAATTGCCTGCTTATTTGTGTGTTAGCATTCAAAGTCTTACTGTGTGTGTGGGAGTACAAGTACGTATATGTGCGTGCATGTTAAAGAGAGGCAGAAGATTTTGTTTGTGCACATTTGGTGTGTGTAGGATAAGTGAAAGAGTGTGTGTGACTAAGCAAAAAGAGGTTTAATTAGACATCCTGAGGGATTAAAACCCAGATGAGTCAGGATTGTAATCTGGCCAGGGTGGCATGAGCCATGACACTCAGCCAGACACACATACACATGTACACACACATTTTTGTTCGCCAGGATGTCTCTGTAATCCTCGCACCTCCTGTCTGCTCTGCCTGCCCATCTTTCATGACCAATTCATTTTGCCTGCCTGCTCCGCTCCTTCATCTCCCACCACACCATCTCCACCTCTTCTTTTCTTAGTCCTTCCTCTACCTGTAGGAACGCCTTTTCTGCTTCCGTCTTCCTCCTTCTTGTGTTTTCCACTCTGCACATCTGACACCCGATTTCTCTCTCATCTGCCCTCCTTTCCCTCTTGCCAACCCTTTCACACTATCACTGCCCTCTGACAATCCATCTCCTCATTATTTGTCAGGATGCAGCCCTCTGTTGCTATTGGCTCATTCTCCATGCCCCTTTTATACTTTCTTCTCATGTCATCGGCCCCCTGTGGGCTTCTTTACCCTCCTTCTTCACCTCTCTTTTTATAGCATCCCCTGGCGCCTGTGCTTTGATCCCTTGTCTCTTTTCACTTTCTCATTTTTAATACCCTTTAGCGCTTCAGTTTTTACTAAATGCGTTTAAGACTAGCAGTCTACTCGTGGTATTATTTGGAGAGGTAGTTGATGTGTGGTTATCATTGCTGGGATGGTTAGTTACTTATTATTCAGTGTTACTCTATTGAAAAAGTAATAACACCATTACATTACAACATGACTCATCAGCAAAAGTAATAAGTTACATTACTTTTGTAATTCAGCCCAGGTTGGTCAAAGGTGACCTTACTCAAAAACCTCCATACCAACATGTCCCATCTTCTGAATAAAGCAGGTGTAGAAACAGAAAATGAAACATTTAAAAAGCAGCCATCCTACATTTTAGAGGTATTTACTGACCATCACCACTACACAAGTCCTGTGCTTACTGTGTAGCTGCGAGGTTCGCACTCCTTCCAATTCTGAACAAAACGGGGTGAATCCTGAATGTATGCTTGCCAGTAGCTAATGTTTGCAGCTACATTTAACACATGTACAACAACTATAAGAGACAAACATATAACTTTGTAGCTATCAATATTTATCTTTCTCCTCTTGTGGTGGGGGCTAACCGCTTCCCCACACCTCCAACCTCTGCAGCCAAGCTAACACATCCTGGACCAGTCTCTCCAGTGGAACTCGAACTAGCCGACCCCCAAATTACAGTAACGAAGTGTTAGTGGTAGTTGTCACTGTAATGGTATTAGTACATTTATAAATTAATATTTATATGATTTAAAATACTAAAAAAGTAAACACATCGTTGGAGCACATTTCTAAGCATTGCATTAACACTGGTGTTTGTATAGGTGACAGAAATACTAGTAGAAGTAATTATATGTGTAAATATACAGTCATTAGTTTACAGTAGAGGTTAAACATTATGCTGTTAGGATTTGTTTTGTTAGGATATTTATATGAGTGGGAGGGTGTGTAAAGCTGACTCAGGGTCAAGTTTTTAAAGTTTAAGTTTTAGCTCTTATGGCTACATGTTACAGTAATTATAATTATCAATTAATCTATTGCTTTTTTATTCAATAACTAGTAGCCATAAAATAAACAATAAAACAATTTCCCATGACAACCCCAGAACCTAAAGATGTTCAATTTACTGTGATTTAAAACCGAGAAATGCAATGAATGCTCAAATTTAAGAAGGTGGAACTAATAAATGTTTATCTTTCTTTGATAAATGACTTCAACAATTAATTATTAAGTTAATTTTGACCAGTTAATCATCCATCAACATGTCAATTCAGCACTATCAAACTTTAAACCTGTCTCTGTCTCTTTCCCTTCAGGCCCAGGAGTATTCTGTGGTCCAAGATTAATGACACCTTACCTGAGAGGGCTGAGATTTCTGGCCCTACCTTTCAGATTTCCCGTCTCAGCCAATCACACAACGGGACGTACTTGTGCCAGGCCCAGAATAACTACGGACGTGCTGCCGATCATTACACCTTATTGGTGTATGGTGAGTCACCATGGCTAGCAGTTAATTATATGTTGTTTTCTTACAATTTCCACAAGTCCATGAAAAGTTTGCTCCATTGATTATTTTTCTCTGTTGTTTTATTTCCAGTCTAGGTATTCTAGGCAATTGTTAAGTCTTCTGAATAACTTTATGTTCAGTGAATCTTTTGTTTGTTACATTTCTCGTTCTTGTGTTTTGATGATATTTTTTTTGAGAAATCTTTTAAATTATATTGATCCTTTTATCTTCCCAGTGTCTTTGGAGTCTGTATATTCTGGCACTGGGCAATGGGCCCATTAAATCGTGATGCTTGCCTCATCTGTCTTTCAGCTTTATTTGTTTTCCTGATTCAGTACACAGCAGGAAACCTCTGCTAAACCTCCTGTGCAATTGATTCAACAGAGATATTGATTCCACAAGAAGACGTAGGCTACCGTGCTCAAATAGTAGTCACCAACATCATTATTCAGGCTATATCTTGTAAAGAACCAATTTATCAAGTCCCCTGTGACCCAGTCCTCTCTTCAAAGAATTTAGAGTAACTTACATCTTCAAGTGCAATAAATAAAGATTTAAGATGTTGTGACAACTAAATGACTTTAGCAATACAAGCTGGCACATAGACAAAGATAACTATACTCTGTGTTACATGGTAACATTTGGCAAAAAACAGCAGCGGAACATCTGTTGCATTTAAAATTAAGGCAAATCAACTTTGCTTGTTTTTTGAGCAGAGGTAGCAGAGGGGGAGGGAGATGTGGGTAAGGGGCTTTTGTTGTCAGGATTTACAAGTATTCCAAGATGTTGCACCTAGATTCACTGGTGGTTGCTAAATTCTTAATGAAGGATGACCCAGATAAACTGCATGTTGTGGCTCAAAGAGGATGACGGTGGAGCTCGCAACATCGCATGATGAAGGTATCACCAGAAAGTTATTTTTCTGAAAATGCGAGAAATTGGCCAACTTTCTGTCTGAGTTTGAAGCACATTTGAAAACAAGGGGTTTGATGTGCGTTAATGCTGTGCAATCCACGCATGAAAAACTTAACCTTGCAGTCAAACGGACAAAATTGGAATTGTGAGATTTTAGCAGCAAAGCTAACTCATCACTCATCATTAGAGGCTTCTATGGTTTCACATCCAATACACTTGTGGTTTGGCCTAATTACATGAGCGCTACTGTCGGTCAGCAGGTTTGCCCTTTTGATCTGTACCCCCCTGCTGGCTGCTCCTGACATTGCACCCAAGCACCCGATTTCGAGATCCGAAGCAGAGGAACGGATGGAGGGAATAGAGACATGATATCTTATGTAACGTTTTTAGGCTGCTTCTGGTTAGCACCCCCTCATCTATCCATCACACTCTCTTTCTCTCACACACTCAGCACACACTCACAATCAACAATCGTGCACTCTGGTACAAGCATGTCTAGCATCAAACGGCACATGTAATGGCAGCTTTCCACAGGCATCAAGGGTGGCAACAGTGGCAAGATGAAAGGTGACATCCCCACCCACTTCCCTCCCTCTCTCTGTCTCTGTCTCTCTTTCTCTCTATCCTAGAAGGTTAGACATGTCGAGCTTTGATGTGCGTTGCCACCTCTGTAGAAAAATGTTCCGTCTTTCTCCCTCCTCCTCAGCTTCCTCCCTCACCGTCATCCTTTTAGCTGTCTTCTTCATTTGTTTTTCTCTGTGCCATTTATTCTCTCCTACATTTCATCATTTATCTTCTTTATTTCATGCTGTTGCTCTGTGCTGGTCATTAATTTGATTTATCTCTTTTTTTTTTTTTTTTTCTTATACTCTCTCATTGTGTATAAAGGGTACATTTTAAGTAAAGAAGCTTGCCTGGACAAAAATCCATAAAAGACTAGAAATCCACATAACCAACATAAGCCAAGCTTCAGCTCCTATGCACCACGGATTTCCAGCAATCAGCTTCTTAAATCCTCCTGCTGTAGCCCCACATCAGTGGTGGTTTGCTGTACTTCAAAAAATATGTATTCGCCCACTGGGCAGATTGTTTCAAACCTTATCTCAAAGAGCTCAGAGTTGTTGATTCAGCCATCATATTTAACTGTAGATGAGGGAAAGTCTCTTGATTTCTCTGTATGTCACAACAAATAATGATCTGGCTAGCGTGGTGTTAATTATTTCTCAAGAAATGTCAAATGAACTCCTTGTGTTCAGGCTAAAATGTTTCCGGTGATATGTGTGTCTTTTGTAAATGTAACATAACTATAAAGCGGTATGTTTGCTATACATCACTGCCAATGCAAATAAGCCACAGTGGTTGATTCAATGTGGTGTTAGCGGGGTGCTACATTCTGATGATTAAATAGGAGGTTCATCAGTCAATATTGAAAATAAATATGATTCTACTCTGTAAAATATGTTAATATGACTCATAACACACAACACTTATCCACAGTGTGCTTTTTTTCATTCCAACTCCTACGTTGTTATAGTAGGTGTAAGCTCTTCACTTATTCTTAAAGACTAGAAAAAAGATAAAGTCTCATCTGGCTCTCGCTCCCCTTCCCTCACTCTTTCATTCTCTGTGAGTTTATTTTCTACTTTAGTTATATATATTTTATTAGTTATATATTAGTTATATTTACTTTCTGAACCTCTGCATCTCTCTTTCTCTCTTATCTTCTATTATTCTCTCCCCTCTATTGCCTCTCCTTTACTCTCCCTCTCCCCATTCTTTTCCTCGACATCCTTCCTTTCCTTTACTCGGCCTGCTGTTCTCACCTCTTTTACACCACCTGTCCACTTCCCCTCTCCTCCCACGCCCTTTCAATGGTTTTTCACCTTGCCACCAGTTTGCCCTCTGTTCTCAGTTCAGCCGCAGTTCAGTCACTTTACTCAAAGAAGGCCTAGGTGTCTGAGTATATGGCACAGCGAGAAGTGAGTGTAACTAAGTGAGGAGTTGGGGAGGGACAGATGGAGAGAGGAAGGAGGGGAGAGAAGGTGGGAGGAAGTGATGGAGGGATGAAAAGGGAGGGAAGAAGGACGATTGAGGTCGGACGCAGGTTAACATTCAGTACCACAGCCTGTCAGATAAACGGAATGCCAGTTTAGTTGGCTCCCAGCCTTCCCAGAGGAAATCCCAGGTTGCACTGGGGGAAGGAAGGAGGGTAAGGGGGAAGCGCTGAAGGATGTGTGTCGTAAAGGATGAGTCAGCAGAAAATAAATTTTATAGCAGGTGCAGAAAAACTACCAGGGCTCTCTTTCGTCTTTCTCCTTCTCATTTCATCTCAACCTTCCCTCTGTGAGAGTTATCTGCCATCAGGGTCTGTACACTGGGTACAAACTCAGGCAAAAGTGGCTGCAAATTTGTTGCAGGTGCTTTAGGCACTGCCACTTTATGAAGGGAGGCGGGCTTAATGCTGGCGAAGGAGAAGAAAGAGCGAAAGGTGGGGAAACTCTCCAGGGAGGCCGGGCCCTGGCAAAGACGTGATGCATTGAAGCTACACTTTATCAGACTGGTCACACTTGTGTGTAACTCTGTGAGTGTGCGCTTTGATGTGTTTATGATTCTGAGAAAAAGAGTAAGATATTTCTCATTAGTGTGCATGTAAGTGTGTGCACCACTTAATACGATGAAATTAACTTTCTGCAACTTTCAGAAAGTCACTAATGAATGTGAGAATTTGTTTTGAATGACTCACAGAGCGCACGCACACACAAACACACGCGCACACACACACACACACACACACACACACACACACACACACACACACACACACACACACACACACACACACACACACACACACACACACACACAAAGAGCAAGTATCTGCGGAATGTGTTAAGGATGTGGCCTCTGCTGGTTGTTTCATCTCCGTGCCACCATTGTTAAGGAGAAATTGGATTTTTTTTATGTGTGTGTATACGCAAAGGTGCACGTGAATGCGTGTGCATGTGACTGGGAGGAGAATGTTGCAGATTGTCTGGTGAAAGCCCGGAGGGCTCCCTTATGTAATTGAACTGAGCTGCTGCACTCAGATGAATCGCCAAGCCAATAAAACCCATTAGAATTGAATTGCATGAGAGAGTGTGGGAGATGGAGAGAGAAAGGAAGAGAGAGGGTGAGGTAGAGATGGAAAGATAAGAACTGTTAGTTTGCATATATGTAACACGCTCAAATGTGTGTGTGTGTGTGTGTGTGTGTGTGTGTGTGTGTGTGTGTGTGTGTGTGTGTGTGTGTGTGTGTGTGTGTGTGTGTGTGTGTGTGTGTATTTCTGCAAAACAGAGCAGAAAGTGAGCAAGGGGAAGAATAGAGAGACTAATGGTTTTATAGAAAGATCCATGGAAAGCAGAGGGGAGTGATAGAAAGATGAAAGGATGGATAGTGAAATGGAGAGGGATACTAGGTGACCAGGGATTAGTCTATGTCTCCTCGGCTGTTGTAATGAGCTGTCAGGATAATTGGAATGAAAAACACAGACCTCCATTTAATGAAGTGAGACTTTCAAAAAATACAGAATGAGAATGAAAGTGGAAAAGGTTGGGGGCGAGTGGCAGAGGAAGCCAGACAGAGATAATGCAGAGTCAATTTTCTTTGAAAAAAATTGTTTTCAGTACTGTTTTCCTCCACACATGACAACGCACCTTTATTGGCATCTGAGTACATTTTGAATGAGTGTTCAGCCAATCAGTGTTGGCCTTAATGGGCTCAGCAGTGGTCCTCTGACCAATGTCCAACATTTCATACACTGATTGACAGCTGGAGCCACCACTGCTCTGGGCAAGGCCCTAATCAGGAACATTGAACATTAAAGAATAACAGTGCTCATCCAAAATGGCGGCGCAGTATCCTCAGGCGCACTTCTGCGAGAATGAGATACGAGGAGAAACGTCATTATCGCAAGTGCCACCACATCCATCCCTGGAAATAACATGGGCTGTGTGCCTGATTGGCAGCCATATAGTGTTAATGAATAACAATATGATGAGGGGGGAAAAAGGACGCTATCGGCCAAGAGAACGACAGCTGTATGGCATTCTCCTTAATTAAGTTGAAGAGCGGCAGTGAGGGAACGTAGTCACCGAGGAATGAAACCAGAGACGTAGCCGAATTAAGGAGGGGGTGCAAATGAGGGAGTTTGAGGGTTTGGTTGAAGACGAACAAGGAAAAAGAAGTGAGAGATGTTGGTTGGAAGATAACAAAAAGTTGGAAATGGTGAGAAAGAACCATTTTTAGGTCATTTGTCATAGTCAAGAGAAATGAATCAGCGTCCAGTTAATTAGTACTGCAACCCCAGCCATTAATCCTCAGGCTCGAGTGACAACCATATGCACTCACACACATGCAACATATATGCACTCATACCCGAGAGCAGCAAATAGACAAACATACTAAGATAATTGTAGAATAATTTCTCATTCTCTTTATCTAGTTCAGCCCCCCCCCTTCTCTCTCTCACTTTACTTCACAAAAAAACTCTGCTCATCTCTTTGTCTTTCCCAGAAAATACACTATGCATCATGTACATTTCTTTCCAGAGAGAAGAAGACCATGCTGGGCTTGAGAAAAAAAAAAAAAAAAAAACAGGACGGGGGAGGTATAGTGCTGACATAAGAAGAGTGCAAAAAGAGATTGATGATCTCAGGGCCAGTGGGAGAAAGGGAGAGAAGAGACAGAGGAATACTTACCAATAAATTACTCCTGAGCAGAAAGGGCAGTGTGTGTGTGTGTGTGTGTGTGTGTGTGTGTGTGTGTGTGTGTGTGTGTGTGTGTGTGTGTGTGTGTGTGTGTGTGTGTGTGTGTGTGTGTGTGTGTGTGTGTGTGTGTGTGTGCGCGCATGCGGCGTATCGTCTGTATGCTTTTGCGGGTGTGTCAAATGTGTGTGTGCATGCATCAATTATGCACTTTTATCTAAGTGTGCATGTGCATGTGGTCTGGGTATGTATGTGTATGTATGTGTTATCAAAAGCTGTGTGTGTGTGTGTGTGTGTGTGTCCTGAGAGTACCTCACATTGCAGGTTTTGGTTTTATAAATTTTTTTTGATTAAGTGGCATGTTATTCAGTCTTAAATTGCTGATGCACACACACACACATTCACACCCACTCCTCCATCTCCCTTTTAGTTCTTGTCAGCCATTATTTTTATCTTTAACGCCAATATGAACTTGTCTCTATCTACCTCTCTACCTACCATTGTGTCTCAGCCATTGATTCTGGGAATGTGTCAAGATCCAAGCTATTGTTCGGCATTGAATGAGACAGTCCCTGCATGGCACTGTTCCATTGGGAATGCATCTGTCACAGACAATGTCTCTGTCTCTCCTGCCATTGTACCACAGAAAATGTGTCAGTGATAGAGAATGTGTTCCTATATATTCCAATTGCCCTGTAGATGAATGTCAATCTGCCAGGTGTAATTCTCTTCAGTCCCATGCTTTAAAGTATGTCTTTCCCATTGTAAATGTCTTCTTTAACCCCCTCAGTTGGCATAGAGGGCTGCCAGGGAACATCATTTGTCCTTGTCTTAATCTCTTGTCAGGGGTCAAGATCGATTCCATTTCACCGGCACACAGGAAATTTTGGGAAATAATTAGGAACATTTGTCTTTGGTTTCAAAATGGCATCGGCCTCAATTTCTGATCAGCATGTTTGAAATAAGTCCTTCTTCCACTTCCTTTATTTTACACCTTCTCCTTCTTCTCAAAACTCATTGGAAAAGACGAGCAGTCTTTGAGACCATGATCCAATGATTATCAAACAGAGCGAGAGCAGCCTATTAATATTCAACAATAATAAAGCATGTGTTATGTTTTATAGGAAGTAGTAACTTTGCTATAAAACCCTGCAACGCTTTGGTTGAAATGTCACTGCATGTTGTAGATAATAGCATTTGTGTCTGTGTATGTTATCCCATTCCCTGTCTGTCTGTAGATAATGTGTCAGTCACTACCACGGTCCTTCCCACTCCTACCACCCAACCAATCACCTCCCATCCCACCACCCCAACCCTCCTAACACCCAGCTTCGCCCCGGACCCAAAAGGTAACACACGCACATTATTATTCTGCCTCTGCTACCCTCCATCTCCTTCCACGTCCTTCTCTGCTTTGCTTGTGTGTTTTTCTCTCCCCTATTCATTTGATGACTCTCAGGTGGCCCACATCCACACGCACACACACACACACACACACACATCTTTTTTCTACTGCAACCTTCCTTTGCCCTGCATCTACATGAGCGTACGTGCCTGCAGACACTTGGATGTGCACCGTGCGCAACCACCCACTCTCTCCCTTTTTCTTATCACTGGCTGTTTGATGCTCCCCACACACACATAGCCCAGTCAGCATTTGTGTACATGTGTTTGTTTGTGTGCACGGTCTGGGGTGGGTCTCTTGGTGCCTGGTGGGTGCTGTTGATGAATCTGCGTTAAGAGTTTAAGGAACTGGCAGCACACCCAGCCTTTAGCTGACTGGCGCTGGCCTCTCAAGGGCTAGGGAGATGCTACATAAACATTTATCTGCATATACACACACACATTCCAAAACACACACATAAATACAGAGAAAGGGGGGAGGGGTGAGAGAAAGAAAGAAAGATCAGGGATCCAGGTGGTTGTCTAATCATATTCTCCCAGATGAATGTTACACAGCAGGAGAAAGAAAGGCTGCTTGGCACAACTCTGTTACCCTGAGTGTGTGTGTGTGTGTGTGTGTGTGTGTGTGTGTGTGTGTGTGTGTGTGTGTGTGTGTGTGTGTGTAAAACTACACACTCTTTCACTAGTTTCCCTCTTTTTTCATCTCCAGGATCTATTTATCTCATACATACTCTCACTCAAACATATGCCCAGTAGTATCTCTTCTACTTTCTTTCCATACCTTTGGCTGCTCTTTGTCTCCTCTCTGTTACTTAAAAGGAGAGATGAAGCGAAGGGAGCGAGAGCATCCTTCTTGTTCTTCTTCTGCTGCTGCCATCTGTGGCAGGTAGAGGTTGTTCACCTGCTGGGCATGTGTGGAGATGTTGTAAAGAGTCATGGGAAAAGCTGCGACTTGAATAGTTTGATGAACATTTAGTCGATGCTGAGAGAAACAGCGCACTTTCTAATACTGTCAGTCATTTCCTGTGGAGCTTAAGGCTGTGGTGGATTAAGAAAAGGGTGGCATGGGGTAAAGGTATAGCGCTTGAGTCCTTGCTTTTCATCCCCTGTGAAATATTGCTTGTTCACTCTTAGTAGTACACACATGACAATACCTGATCATATACAGAGGCAGGAATGTGGTGCACTTTGTATGAGTGCTCAATGAGACACTTGTCAAACAAAATACATTAATAAAAATGCACCATCTTCTCTTCAGCTGTCAATACCTGCTCCTCTTCCTTTCCTTCACCTCCTCCGTCACTCACTCTGTCTCTCCTGATCTCTATGTGTTAGCACTGTATTAATGATTCATGTTTTAATTCCGCTCTGTCAAGGTCCAAGAGCTGCATCAATAACTCTGTGTCCTTGCCTCCCATTGGCCTTACCAGCTCTTACACTACACCCCCTCAGCTCCAAAAAAAAAGCTTTTTGTTATCCTCAAAGACTCAGACACTGTCTTATCTTATTTAAGTCCAAGACTCAGAGAGCTGTTTTTCGCTGCACAAATTACCTTAATTTTGACTTTACCAGCTATTTATTTCTCTTTCTCTACATCCCTGCCATTTATACTGTCGAGCAGTGTTTACTGGTGAAACTACACAGACACATGCTTGGTCTTAAGTTTGCTTTATGATCTGTTTGGTGGCTGCAACTAACAGTTAAGCTGTTGATAATGTGTTTGACTAATTGATTTACTGTTTGATCCACATAAAGTCAGAAAATACTGAAAAATTAACATCACAATTTACCAGAACTAGCAACAGTTCCAGTACTAAAATGATTAAATTTAAAGTTATAGAAAACAAAGAAAAAAGCTATAAACATTTGAGAAGCTGGAACCAATTAATATGTAGCAATTTGGCTTGATAAATGACTTGAACAGTTAATCAATTATAGATTTTCTTCTGTCAGCAGAATAATTGCTCTACTCAAGTAATCATTTCAGCACTAACCTACACTTTCTTTCATTGTTCCTCTGTTTTTGTTCTAGTATTTGTCCTTTACTTTAAAGCAGTGTAAGGTTTGTAAAAGGTGAGGTGGACATGAATAATTCCTTAGCACTTCTGTCATTTTCAACTACAAAATGTCACAGAATTTAGCTTGTCTTTTTATTTCTCTTCACTCATCCTGTGGTGAAGTGTTTGATTTTATTTCCCAGGGCGGCACCACTCGGGGTGTAAACACACTCAAAATTTTCCTCATTCAAAATGCATTGTGGTCTTGACAGACGCTTGGCTGAAGTGGGTTTTTAGAGGCTGACATACTTATTTCTTTATTCACACTCCTCATTTCTCTACCTTTTTCTCACCCATTCTGACTGCCTGGCATTCTGTGCAGTGGAGGGTGATGAAAGGTGATAATGCAAGTTGGGTGGAAGATATCGACATCTTTTTTTCCCTGTCTCGCTCCCTGTATCAACCCCCACACTGGTGTTTTAATGTGCTTTCTTTCTCTCACTTTGATATCTTTTTTTCCCCCTTTCAACCTGCTTTCATTTTTGATCCATCTCTCTCTTTGTCTCTCTGTCTCTGTTTCTTCGCCTGTACTTTTCTCTCCATATTTCCCTTTATATACCTCACACTCCCCACACACACTATTTATCTCTTTTTTTTTTTCTTTCTCAGATCCTGGTGCAGTGGTAGAGACTCACAGTGCAGTACCATATGCAGTGATAGGTGGCGTTCTGGCACTGCTGGTTTTCACCGTCATCTGTGTCCTCATTGTTACCATCTGGTGCTCCGTCCGACAGAAAGGTAACACACACCCACACACTTACAAACACACACACTGAGTAACACAAAAGTTTCTTTCATAAGCTAGGGGGACACATTTTGGCAATCAAAACTGTATTATCACATTTTTCATCGGCACCTTTTCTCATTTCTCGACTTTCTTGTGTAAAACGCTGTGAAAAAAATCATTGCAGGCCAGTTAACAACCAGATTCTTCGAAAATAGGTGTAAAGGTGTAAACTTGTCAGCGCAAAGCAGACAAGATGGGATGCTCCTCTCCAGGCGGGCACTGTCCATGATGGACGACCTTGGCCAGGATAGCGGAAAAGATAGGGTGGGGTGGGAAATGTAGGTGTGGTCCCCATGTTTTATGACTATATGTTAGTGTATCAAGGCTCATCTATTAAAAGCAGTCTCCCTGCGTTCCCTATCTTTTTAAGTGCCCCTGTGTTGGCAGCCTTCGACTGTGCACCACAGCTGCCAACAAATGATCCGGGAACAGTGTAGCAGGCAGCAACCAGCCATTACTTACCCTATGGCTAGACAAGCTGTCAGTCAACATTCAGTATGGCTTGACCGCCAATCAGCACAGAGACAGGACTATTACAACCAAACTATGTTGAGACAGGGCCATTAGGGCTTTGTCTTCAGCCCTCCGTGACTGTCAGCATGCCAGTCAACCTCTGGGGTAAGGAGAATGAGAGTGTCACTCACCCCAAGAGTGAAGGGACATTCAAGCAGGAAGATGACTTGAGCAGTTCTTGCTCTCTGTAACCTGTACTGCACCGAATCATTAATCATACAGACCGGAGGGGTGTTAAGATGTGTTTAATGGTTTTTCTGAGTGAAGCAAACGTGCCATTGTTCTCTTGCACCTAACCTTCCTTCCACCCTTTTCTGCCAATCTCTCCTCCTTCCCTGTCTTTTATTCTCTATTATCTTCCCCACCTACCCCTCCTCTTCTGCCTCTTCTATTCATACATCCATCCCCTACCTTTAATTTCCGCCGGTAGGCTCGTACCGTACCCGAGAGCCTATTCTTGCTTGGTATTGACCTAACAATCAGTTAACTAATGAATTAATCAGTCACAGGTATGGTACTCAATAATATGAGGGCTGAGTGGTTTGATAATGCTGCATGGCGCTGCGATGATCATGACGCTTTGCCACCTAACCTTCCCCCTCCAATCTCCCTCTTGGTCTCTCTCTCTCTCTGTCTCTCCCTCTCTCTCTCTCTATCTCTTTCCATTCAGGTTCCTATCTTACCCATGAGGCCAGTGGGTTGGATGAACATGGTGAGGTGCAGGAGGCATTCCTCAATGGGAACGACGCCAGCCAGGGCAAGAAGGAGTACCTACTGTAGCCCTTCTCCTTCCCTATCCCCTTCTCTTCTGACCTCATCCCTCTATCTCCTCCTCTCCCTGTCTCCCACCTTATATACAGTATATACACACACACACACACACACACACACATACACTTCTATACAATGCGCCATAACAGGCGGCCTTCTGAAAACGACTGTATACAGATACTGCACACAGCCAATTCATCCCACTCCATTCCACTCCATATCCTCCATACACATACACAAAATACCCCGAGACAGACTGAGAAAAAGAGAGCCTATAGACCCACCAGCCATTAACGACTGTGCCATATACTGTAAGTCGGAGAAACTGGGGTAAATGGAGAGAGTGAGAAAGGGGGAGGAGAGGGTGAGGTGAATGTAGACAAAAAACGAAATAATGCCATAATTATTTTGATGGAGAGGGAAGCAGGGAGCACAAAGAAAACAGGCACTCTGCCCGTGCAGCCGCCAAAGTGGAAGGGGAATTAGAGGCAGATGACTGCTATAATTCCTTGCCTGGAGAAAACCATCCATTTCACAAAGCTCAATCTTTAACTGGCGGAGACAGTGGGAGCAGTGTGTGAGAAGGGAGGGGGTACTGAGGATGGGAGGGGGGGAAGTTGACCAGGAGCTATTGAGCGCTAGATGCTAGAAAATTGAAATTTTTTAAAATTGCCAAAGCATCTTGTCTACTGAGCGAAACTCATATATAATTCTTTAACAACACTGGAGTGTTTAAGCCCAGAGTCCCAGCAAGTATCCAGACTTTATGAACAAGCTAACTGTCCTGCTTTGCTGTCCCTGTTGGGTGGTCTGCCAATAATTTGTAAAAGAAAATAAGCTTTTAGTGATTTTTTTTTTCCCCCTCTCGCTGGAACTTTGAGGGAAAAGGTGGCTCTCTTTTCTTTTCATTTACTCTCCATCTCCTCCTTCCTCTCCGTTCACCTGTTACCATCCTCTCCCCTCTCCCTTATATCTCTCTTTCTCTCTGTCTGTCCCCCTCTATCGCTCCTCCTTTGTTGGCTCCTAATAATGAAAGGATTAGTGTTGGGCTGCGTTCCCGACAAGAAGAAATGAATATGACTTGCTAAGGCATTAAAGAAAAGCTTAATTATTTTAGAATGTCATTAAGAGGATAAAAAGGTTTAAAAGTCTTAATAAGAAGGGCAAGAGGAGTGATAGCAAAAGGAGTGAATGAGAAAATAAAATGGATGGATATTTTTTCTGAATGCTACCACACATATGCAGATACATGCACACATTCATACGTACAGTAAACATGTTGACAGAACAAGTATACATATCTCTGAATTCCTTATTTGTATAAAAAAACAACAGCAACATAAATTAAAGGAAACTTTTAAGAAATAAGAAAACAGTTTACTATTGAAACGCATTATGAAGCAACTATACTAACACAGAATATTAGCCTATAGAGGTGCAAAGCCGAACAAACTACTGTCCAGTGATCTTTAAAGAAAAAAAAAAAGAATAAAAAAAAAAATCATTTGTCTTTATGAGAAACCAGAGGTCTTATTGATTTTTTATTAATTATTATTATTATTTGAACAATTATGATTGTTGTTAATGTTATTATTATTGCTGTTGTTATTATTATAATTGTAAATGTTAAAGAAATGTACACTTCCCATGGTTTGTTTTTGGTTCTACTGTAGAGAAATTGCTGTCTTTTTTCACTCTTACCTTTCCTCTCTATCCCGGTCTTTCTCTCTTTGTCTCCTGTGCCTAGTCGTCTCTTCTCCTGTCTTTCACTCTTGTTTATTTTAGAGTCCATGTGTCATTGTTGATATATAGCTAACTATTTCTTTATAGGGGAAAGATACAAAGCACGACAAAATAAAAAAGAATCCAAAAATACCCTTTGGGATCAGACTTTTTTTTTTTATGTGTTTACTGTGTAATTAGCAGGGTCTGTGTTTGAAATCCTCCAAAAAGAGAACAGGAGACAGAGCATATGATTAGATCAATGGGGAATAGTGGAGTTATAGGTGGGAAGATAAAGATGAAGGCGGTGGAGCCGGTTATAACTGGCAGCTCATTCAGAATAAATAGAATAAACAAAACAGAAGGTTCTGTGGCGCCGCTAATGAATCATAAGAACAGATAGCGGGGAAGAAAGGGTGACAGGAGGGTTTAGTCAGATGCACACAGAAAAATATGACTCTGCCATTAACTTCCACGCAATCAATACCCGATTCTGTCGAGAAGCACTCAACATGTCCATCTGTGCACGGGACTAGATTTGAAAGCCGCCGGAGGTCGCCGGGTGATAGATCGATGTGTTTCTCTTCTATCGATGGCAAGGCTCCATGGTCGCCTGTCATAAAGATAGATTGTCAAACGGCAATCAAAGTAATGGACTTGCCAGGCCCTACCAGCTTGAGTTGACACTCCGGCCAACAAACAATACACACACACACATACACAAGTCGACACCAGACATATCTTCAGTTTATGAGGAAGCATGGGGAGCGCAGGTAGCTCCTGCTATCAGAGCCACCATGGTCGATGAGTAATAAAACAGAGAATATTGTCGCTTTTATGTCTTGAAAAACAGAAGTGGTATGTCCTTCAAACAAAGGTTTCATCTGTTGTTTTCCTGTGGGATTCACAGCACTCAGTCGGGGTGTGTTTGTTGGTTGTTTGATACTGTTATTTCTGCTTCTCTTCACAGGAAAAAAACTCAGCAAAACTTTTAAGTTCAAGTTTGCTATTTTGCTTTCCATAAATAAAGATTTCAATCACATTCAGACTTATTGTTGCTAATGCTGTTACTGCTTGCTCTGGTGCATCCTGGGAAGCCGGCCATTATCTAGACCATAATCACAATGCAATTCAGCTGCAAGACCCTATGACAATCAGAACACCACTGTGATTATAGAGGGTGATTATCAAATCAATAAACATAAGCTAAAATGAGATTGGGACAAGCAAGACAACAGTCAGTTGTATTGCTCCCTGAGTTTATGACATGCATTGAATGTAGCATAGTCTGGCCAGTAACGACAGCAAGAAGTCTATGAATAACTCACGCGGCATCTCCCTGATGCTTGTTTCACCGTTTAACGTCCTGGAACGGATTCACAACGGAGAATTCCCCGTTTATGACCCATTTATGACAGGCATATTTCATTTCTACAAGTTGCAGTAGATATCCCAGTCCATCCAAACACAAACTCTTTATACTTCTGGTGGCTACATGGTGGATTAGACACAGTTTTATCCATCTGTAAAGCCAACCGTAATGACCCTAAGATGGAACGCAGTTTATGTCCACTGGTCTTGGCAGCGTGACCCTAGCGAGGCAAGGAGGTGTGTACACAGTGGCAGCATAGCATGAGGCATTGATTGAGGTGCTGAGGCTGAGCATAATCAGGAAGCAGAGAGGCAGACAGAACAATTGAATGGGCAGCCGCGCTAGAGAAGCTGGGGAAATCTTTTTTTTTGCGTTACTAGATTTCTCTATCAATAATGTTCCAGTCAGGGATTTTTTTTTTTTTTTGCAGTGATGGAACACATACTGTGTACTTCTTGAGTACATAAAGAGGAGGTGGGAAGCAGGGAGAGACATTACGAGTGAAAAATATAAATTAAAAATAGAGAATCTGTAGAAAGAGCGAACAGCAAATCTTAAGCCAGAGACGAAGGGAGTGAGAAAGCTGTTGAGAAGTGTGTTGAATGTCATGCCCATGTTCCATGCAGACAGAGATGGATTTTTCCATCAGTGATTTCTTATACCAACGTGGTTCAAGATGAACAATCCAATTAGAGTGAGCAAGGCCCTTTTTATTACAAGATCACATTGTATTTACAAGTTTAATCAAAACAGCCAAGATTGTGTCATAACCAGGTTAATGATGTTTTCCCTACAATGCTCCATCCTCTCTGGACCACTGTGTTATTACTGAATGTTTAATTAAACGCTGTCACTCATATATCTACATTACTGGTGGGTGACTTAGCAGAGACTTAGAACAGGCTTAGCATAAGACCCATAAGAAGAGCAGTCAAAGAAAACAGACATCTGTGATCAGGATAGTACTCATCATCTGGAGACTTAATTTTCTCACTGACATTTGGTTTGGGACCTGATAATTAACTGGCCTTTTCATTTGCGAGCGATTCATAACGTCTGTGCACAAGGTTGCTGATTAGTTAAAAAGCCAACAACAAACAGGAATTTGCCATATTTATTTGTTTCAAACACTTTTTTTTTTTTTTTCCCATGCACACAAAACATAGAAGGAACATTGCTTTAAGAAAAGAATTGAACTGCCTGAAGATGATGACAAATGTTTACACTGCGAACAACAGCCCAGGTCTTTTCGTTTTGTCAAGAATTCAGACCTCTGGGCACACTTTGGCTTTAAGGGAGTGTTTGGCTGAAGACCATGGAGCTGCCTGCACAGCCTCACACAGGGCCATACGGACAGATTTTACTGTGGACGGGGCTACTGCGGGTGGAAGGTGGGGAACAGACAGAGGAAAGGATGCCCGTTCTTCCCCCACTTGATTCTTAGGAGGAGTGAAGAGGAGCTGTGGCACAAGACTGTACAGCTGGAAGAGAAACATGGCAACTGCATGGGGCCATGCAGGAAGATTGGTATTGGGGGTGAAAAGCAAGAGAGCATGGATAATGTGGAGCGGCAGGCACAGCAGAACTAACAGGGAGAGGGACAGAGCCAGCGAACGGACCTGGCAGGGGTCATGTTTAGGGGGGTCTGCATGACTAAAAGGAGTCTTCCTTGGCTTAATGCATAGTAGGTCAAGGTAAATGGCCAGCAGGCAAAGCAAGGGGAGCATGAACACTGTCATGCCATGAACATAGACTAGGAACTGGGGACTGAGAATGGTGTCTGGGGCACACACTCCCCAGTGGCTGCTATGAATCTCAGCGTAGGTGAAGTTGTGCATGTCTTCCACATAAAACTTTGACAGGAAGCCTCCGTACGGAAGGTACTTTCCAATGACCTTGCGGTCGTGGTGATACTTCGGGGGTGGGGATGGGGTAAGATGTGGTAAAGAGGTTGTCCAGTTGCCATGGAGCCCGAGGCCAGCTGTGCCTGGACCAGTCTCACCTCTTCTCCAGGTGTCGAGGACATCTGAGCCGATGAACTGGGCGAAGGAGGACAGAACAGAGCCCACCCAGCACAACAGAACCACGCACAAAGCTCGCTGACGGGTCATCACTGAGGAGTACCTGGCATTCACAACATATTGATGGGGACATATTTGAATGCCATTTATACTAAAATTAAACTTAAATGCAAAAGAAAGAGAGAACTGAACACTAGTAGTTCTAAAGTTTCTACAGTTCTACACTACCTTAACACTCATCTCTCACTAACACCAAAAATACAAAATGGCTCACCTTACTCCTATCAGAAAAACAGATTTTTAATTTAAAATGAATTTCTGTGATATAAACTAGATGCGAGCAAGTTCCTGCATACGCAGTTGTTGTTAAAAATAGTTCTGAGTGAGGTGCACTAAAATCCCATCCTACTTACACTAACTGGTTGGTGTAAAGCAATTGAAGCCCATTAAAAAAAACATAATACTGACTCTCTTGCACTGAAATGCTGGATTTGTAGGTCACTGTCAATCAAACTTCTAAGAGCCCCAGAACCTATTGATATTTACTCACCCCTGTCTCTCTGATGGCAGTGTAAGTAGTGTGTCATAAAATAAAACAGCCTTATGAGCACTGAACGAACAGCCTGTTTTGATACTGCTATACAATGGTGCATCTTGACATGTTTTCTGCTTTTTTTTCCTTTTACCCTCATATTGATTTTCTTACTTTACTGCTGAAAGCACACTTGAGAGTTTTGGTTGACTCTTGCCACCCACATATTCACCCTCTCCCACACAGATGATTTAAAGCATTGTATAATTGTAATTTAGAGTATATGATGCATATATTTCTGAGAAAAATAAGTTATATAATTTGTATTAATGTGTACCATGTTAATATATGATACTTTGTGACACTTTTCCACTTTAAATCTACTGTTTTAACTGTTTTAAGCCTCTTCTAGACTTACCTGTCTGCCAAGTGAAGCTGCAGGTGGGCGTCCAGTGTAAGAAGCATTAACAGGAACATGGTAAACTGCCTGACCAGCATGGGACAACACACCAAAGTTATGCAGGTGTACAGGCACTGGGGGGTGCGCAGGTTGAGTAACACGATCACAGGGACCCCAACTGCACCCCCTATAGCCCCCACCCAACCCAGGCACAGCCGCAGACAGCATGAGACACTCCCGGGTAGGGTCCGAGTACCCTGGGTCCTTTCCTGGACGTTGGCCACTGCACCGCTGCCAGTGACTGCCATGCACAACCTCACACTCACCACAATTTCAGATACTGATAGGATGCATTGGCACAGGGAGTACAGCCACATGAGTTCCATGTCTGGGGGAGAAAAAAAAAACATAATAAAAAGAGACATATTTGACTACAGTTAAAAGTCATTGCTGATGATGTGAAAGAGCAAAAATTATTGATGCTTATGCAAATACAACCTTATTCACACCCACTCTAGTTGTCACCCCTGCCCTATGTTTCAACATGGCTCTTTCAGTAAAGACTGCCTCTGCAGCGTTAACTTGCATTGTCAGAGGAATGGTCAAACATAGAGAAAGACAAAGAATAGAGGGAATACAAATGAGAACTGAGTGACAAAGGGTGGAGGAAATTTTGAGGTTAAGCATAGGGGTGTAGGTTAGAATAATAAAACTAGTCAGCAAGAGATGGAGAAATTACAGATGTAGAAGGATAGAGAATGTGATGCAAGTTTGTGCTAGGGGCAGAGAGACAGGCAGGGGGAGAGTAGATATTTTGATAGGTATTGGAGAGCTGTAAACGTGCCTGGAGAGTGAAAAGGTCAGGCCAGACCAGACTTGACAGAACTTCTCTACTGAGGATGTGAGCACCATGCAAACATAGAGCAACAAGCACCAAGCTGGGTGGCAACATACTGTTAACACACTCTTTTCTTGCTTCTTTTTCTGGTCTTTGTTTTGCCCCTATTCTCCGTGTGGCCCACCATGCATCATTTGCACAATCATACTCTCTGAAACACAAATAGGCCTAGACATTTATGCGTAAATACATGAGCACTGACACTCAATCACAGAAGTGCACACTCCCCCGATGAGTAATTTCCAGCAAATGCATTCAGAAATGATTGGCAGCTAATTTCAGTGCATTTTCAAACAATAGTCTCGCACAAAGCGGAGTGGATGAATATTGAAATAGCAGATTTGCCACAGCAATATGACACCTGTCCATTCCACGTAATTAGTTTGACCTTTTCAGAACATTTGGTGTTAGTCGTTTTCCATAATAATCATGACTGGCTGAAATAACCTCTTCATACCGCTTCATAATCACTTTACACAGTTGTCTCCTGTCTCACCACTTGAAGGGCCTCAGCAAAATTGATTTACTGAAGTAATTAACAGAGTTTAATCCACCTTGTGTGAGTTTTCAATTCAAATTGGTGGCTGGTCACTCCCAGTATAATTAATTACCTTAATTATTCAATTAAGCTATTTGAAACAACATTCAAGCTATAGGGCCAAACCTTTCAGCAAGGTCAGAGCTTTCTAGAGTTGAAAAGTCAGTGGTACCTGGATGTTGTATAATGTAAAAGAAATAAATTAGGATAAAAGGGTACAATTACCTGGTGTGAAGCCCTGCGATGACACAGATAGTTTATACAAAGGTTTATAATCTATCCTCTGTATGACTTGGATGCCTTTTTATTTCCCTCCAGGATCTCTATCTCTGCCTCTCACCTCTCACTCTAAACTGTCTGCCCCCACTGACAGAGTATAAACCTGATTCATAAACCTCTGCTTATCCACCTGCCTTCTATCTCTCTCCCCTGTCTCTGCAAACATATCAATTGTGTCAATGTTGGAGCATGGCTGCCCTTTCCATCTGAGATGTGCAAAGGGCAACACCACCTCTGAAAGCCAAGGAAATATGTAAATAAGGCACACACACACACACACACACACACATGCACATAGTATGGACCCTCACGCAATAAGGTTTATTATTCATTCTTATAGCAAATAAAAACCTTCTCAATCAGATTCTCTTCGATTTCTCCCAGTTTCTCTTAATTTGAGAGAGACAAAAGAAAATAAGAGGTAGCTCTCAACTCGGAAGGCAATGTGCTTTTTGATGGAGTGTGCATGCCATGTGTTGGAGGTGATAAAGATGAGCAGAGATATCAAAGACATTTTACACAGTCTTATCTAAAGCTATTGTTCCATTAAACAAAATAAGCAGACAGCACCAGTGTAATTGCTAGGATACCTACACAGAGGGAATGCATGCCTTCAATAAAGAATATTCATTTAGCTTTATACTTTAAATTACCCATGTTAGTTCTGTAATCTTGGAGAGTTTATTCAATAACAGCCTACATAATACTCTCCAGCAAACAAAGAAATCGTGTAAAGCTCTGTTGACAACCATGAGACAAAGCCTAAAGCTCCTCCACTGAAATTTGGTTAAAAATTGTGTCTTTTGTGTGCAGAAAATGTTTACTTTAGTGTTTACATGCAAATGACCTTCATTGAACTGTAGGGCTGACAGTCATGGTCTGGAAAATGTGCCTATTTCCAAAAAAACACCCAAGCATATCAGTGTTTATACAAATCATCCTCCCGCTGTCTGCCAAAAGGGCAGAGCTCCAGGCTGAGAGAACACTGAGCCCTATCGAGGAGGCTCCGTGTTAAAAAGAATGTACCCACAATCCAAATAAAAAATAGATTAACAAGTAACTTTTGTCTGCTGCATTTTTAAATATAGCCTCAGAACATTTATTGGTTAGTTGTGAAAGTGGAGACCCAGAGGGGAGCAGGGCAAATAGGCTACGGATTACACAAGTAGGATCAATAAGTAAACACTACTACAATGCATACTTTCTGTGTGCCCTTGACATAACGCTTTTGGCACCAGAATGTATAGATAACCTCTTTGCCTCTCTCGTTTTGTATGAGCATATTTATATATTTTATTTAATTGTAGTTAATTGTTCAAAGTGACAACACAGTAAAAGCTATATTTCAGTAAAACATGTGAAATCCGGACACTAAGATGATCAACAAATGTGGTCCTCTCTGGTTTTTCTCTCTCACAATTACAATGTGGTCGGTAGCCTATACGTTGACTGTGATGAGAGGCATCGGTGGAAAAAACAACGCTCCAGTCTCGCGTAATGAAACGAGATTTGCCCGTTTTAACATGGGCTGGAAACCCCGTTTCACCCTCTTCCCTTTGCTGTCCACAAGCAAGGTAAAGCGCTATTTTCTGTCTTCGGTTATATTAAACTAAATAGCCTCAAATCTATAACATTTACTCTAGAAACGTGACCAGGTATGATATAAAGTACAGATAATACAGTAGTTGAGCGCTACGCGAGGTTATAAGACGAGTTTGTTTCTTTTTTTTTGAGGAATTTACTTGACTGTTGCGCCTGTACTAGACGTCTGTTAATAATGGCTGCCCCCATGCTACCTCGTTGAGGCCTACTAGCTAGTGGCTAGCTGTTCTGATATAGTTCTCTAGCTATTACTTAAGTACAACGTCGATATTAATATTGCTTGTTAATCTTATTGAATTATCTGGTTTGAAATAGTTGAGGTTCACGACAGGAAGGTGTTTACTCGGAGACTCGGTCTGGTAGCTAAGCTAACATGGCTAACTCTCTTGCTGCAAGTAAAGCTAATGCCGGCTGAAAGCGTGTAACGGAGAGCTCCCACACATGTATCTGCCTTAAATTGGTATCTCGCTGCTTGCATTGTTAGATTGGCATTGTTTTTGGTAACATAAGAGTTGAGATGAGCGGGTCAGTCATGTCCACATGTCATAGTCAGATTTGATAACGCCGAAACATTTGATGTTAATCTACACTCGTGTGAAATGTTACTTCCACCCGACCGTGAACGGCCTCAGTCGAGAGGATGTAATAAGTAGTAGCAAACTCACTTTGTTCCTAGTGTATGTCAGTGGTTGTGTGTAATGTAACATTGGTGGGTCTTCATCTTTAGATGCCCGGTGTCACAGTGAAAGACGTCAACCAGCAGGAGTTTGTCCGAGCTCTGGCAGCTTTCCTGAAGAAGTGAGTGTTTTATATTGTGTTTATTTCTCTCTCTCTCTCTCTCTCTCTCTCACTCTCTCACACACACAGAGAGAGAGAGAGCCTGGTTTTACAATAAGTTGTGCTACTATAAGTCATCATATTATATTCTCTGATTGTTTTCAAATTTAGCACTTGAACAGTTCAGCATACTTGGTTTCATGGATGGTTTCAATGCATTTACAGGCTTTTATATTTTTGGGTTCTATCCACATTTATTGCAAGTTGCTTTGGATAAAAGTGTCAGCTAAATGTATTGTTTTATCCCTAATGTACCGTTTGTGTAGTTGTACAACATGCTAATGAATAATGCTGTATTACAGAAACCTGTTTGGGTTTAGTTCATGCTGACACTACTTGTCTCTCCCCAGGTCAGGAAAGCTGAAGGTGCCCGACTGGGTGGACCTTGTCAAGCTCGGTAAGCACAAGGAGCTGGCCCCCAGTGATGAGAACTGGTTCTACATCAGATCCGGTAAGTCTAAATAGTTTTTCACTTTTGGTTTCCTAAAAGTATCCCAAGTTGCTTGAGGCAAGTATTTATACATCAGAGCAAAGAAATCTATCCAAATGCGGGTGTTGTAATCCCTGAAATACTACTACATTTTACATTACTGAAGGGATGTATAGAAATGTATAGATTTCAAATGGCAGTGTGGGCTTACCTGGCTCCATAAATGCCAGCACAAACCCTGCTGTGATTATAATTTTATTTGCCGTAAAGTGGGAACTGGTTTTGCAATCTCAAGAATGACAGCCTATGTGAAGATCTTGTTTTAACGGTTCACTTAAATACTACTTAATTTACTCATGGTGATATCTAGTCATGCAAGTTTTAAGTTTTATTTATTGATTTTTAGATGTCTGCCATTGAGGCTTGATCCCTAATGATTACTGTTGTGGGAATACTGGCCCTACTACAATATTTGTACATTCAGACCTTAAAATAGCACTTTAAAGCTAGAAGGTGGGACATCTTCTATTTTTCATTGTTGAGGCTCAAAATATTTTTGCTAATGCCATAGCTTAGATGTGTGATTGAAAGTAGAGTAAAACTCTCACTGCTTGGTAACAATGTACACGTTCTTCACTTTGGATCTCTGATCTTGGTGCCTTGCTCATGTAATATGAACTTGCACTACTCATTCATTTCCCAATCTTGTTTTCTTACTGAGTCCCCAAGCTCGCAAACATCTGTTTT